TATTCCACAATTGAGAAGGAAACATTAGCCATGCTATTGGCTTTGCAGCATTTTGAAGTTTATGTGGGCTCAACAAGTCCTGTGATAGTCTACACAGACCATAATCCATTGGTTTTCCTGAACTGTATGTATAACCACAACCAGCGGTTAATGCGCTGGGCTTTATTGGCCCAAGAATACAACCTAGACATTAGGCATAAGAAGGGGGTGGACAATGTGATAGCTGATGTACTATCCAGGATATAATGTTGCTTATCTCACTGTGGTACTGTACGTTGAAGAAATGTTTTATGTAGGATTTTATGGGGGAGGGTGTTACGGTCACTGACCTCTAGGGGCTCTCTTCATAAGAGAGTCCTCTCTCTCTCTGTGTTTCAGATGCACAGGTGAAATGTGTTGGAGCTCATCAGCCACTCCATAAAGAGCTTCATACAACCAGTGTTGGATCCCTTCTTGTTTGGGCCTTGACCTGATCTGACACTTTGACTGGTGACTGAGTGATTTTGGCTGTGAGCCTTTGAAATGTGTTAACCAAGACCTGTTTTGGTGTTTTTTTTCACAGTGGAAGCTGGTAGGGGTTCTCTGCCATTTGTGTTCAACCATTTTTCTCCTGTTTTGATGGCTAGCCAGGGAGTTCAGGTTTTGTCCTTTCTTTTCTTCTATTTACCATTAGAAAGTTCTTTTTAATTTCTTAGCTAGACAGAGGGGGGTGTTTGTTTGTTATTTTGGCCTTGGAGACCCTGAAGATAAATACTTCCCTGTGTTCTGTTCTTTGTTTTAGTTGACTTACCTGCACTGTAAATAAATTATCCACATTTTGCTACAGACAACTGTTTGTTTTTTGTTACAACCAGCGCCAGATTTTACCCTTATTGGTCTTGGGGGGGGTTGTAACAAGGATGTAGGCTATATTTCTTCCCAAACTAACAATGGCTATATAAATTTTATAACAGAGTAAGGTTTCTGTTTTAAAGAATAATTGTACAGCACATACACACACCTACTTATAGCATGTTGCTCAATGTCATAAAGGGGAGGAAAAAACTAATAAAAAAACACTTCTGCAGTTGACAAAGCAGGGTTTCCACCAGAAAACGTCAGAGCCCAGTGGTAGGGGCACCCAGGCGGTCAATTGTGTTTTTGTGTCAGAGGATGTTAAGCTGACAGAAAATTTAAAAATATGAAATGTTACAGGAAGATATCACCAGTGAAATGCTATTTACACCAACAGCAATAGTCTTAAAAGCAACAAATCAAAAAAATACAATTAAAATGAGAAAAAGTAAAGCCTGGCAAACCGCACAACTTATAATACACTGGGGGAAACGCTGCAAAAGAATAAAGGATTACCATAAGTGCTAATTAATAACACAAAATAGGAAAATTTGAGGTAATATCAACGTTTTAACAAATTTTCTGTCAAAAAAAAGAGCGCAAGATTCCTTTGTTTTGATCAGCATTATATGAAAATAGGGTAGACAACATAAATAAGTTGCTTTTCTCATGCAGCAGTTAGATGGAAGGAGAGTGAAAAACCTCTCAGTGGTGGCTGTGGCAGCATCAATCAATACAAGAAAAGAGTTACTATATGATTATAGATGTGTGGATCGGAATTTTCTGAAATAAAATACTGTAGTCGAAATAATAACAACACATGAAACATAAGTTTTTAAATATTATTGTATTAATATTGATAGACTTACATGGACTATAAATAATTACAAACTAACCTCAGCTCTTATAACAAGAAATTACATAACAACTGGTAGAATGGCACTGGAGATAAAATAATAGTTCCTCAGCTGAGTTCACCTACCTTTAGCACCCTTGAGAAACAGTGAAGTTACCACTCTTACACAAGGTATGCTCCATTAAGGGTGAAGAAAGTAGTCATTTTATGTCTTAAATATCAGGAATGTAACTCAGTTCATTAACTCAGATTTATTTTTACTGAACATTCACATATAAAAACAACTGAACTGAAATCATGAAGCAAGAAATTTGTATAAAACGCTGCTGTGAAAAAATGTATAAACAGCTCATTACTCAGTTCAACTCTATCAATTTTCTATTTAATCTCAAATTTTACTAATCCACACAAACATTTCACCAGCAACTTTTTCTCCCTGTGTGCAACATCATCGCTGAGCTATTTCAGAGAACCTACATCACATTCCATTTTTCTACATTGGATGTAAGTGTCTCTCATGGAGTACTACAGTTTAAAAGCCTCAGAAATAGTTTAAAATGACTTAAATCAGGTCATAATGTGTTGGTTATTTAAAATCTTTATATCAATGTTGTAAGGGAGTTTTCACACACTGTTGCTGATATATTGGCCCATTCTTCCATGCATATCTCCTCTAGAGCAGGAATGTTTTGGGGCTCTCGCTGGGCAACACAGACTTTCAACTCCCTTCAATGGTTTGCTATGAGGTTGAGATCTGCAGATAGAAATGCTTCTTACGAAGCTACCCCTTTGTTTCCCTGGCCATGTGTTTGGGATCACTGTCATGCTGAAAGATCAGCCTATGTTTCATCTTGCAAAACTTCTGATGGAAGAAGTATCTCATGATACAGGGTCCCATTCATTCTTTCATATACAAAGATCAGTCATCCTTGTCCAGTTGCAGAGAAACAGCTTCAAAGCATGACGTTGCCATCCCCATGCTTCACAGCAGGTATAGTGTTCTTTGGATGCAACTCAGCATTCACTCTCCTCCAAACACAACTCAAGTTTATACCAAACTGTTCTACTTTGGTTTCATCTGACCATGTGACATTCTCCCGATGCTGTTGTGTAACATCCAAATGCTCTCTAGTAATCTCCAGATGGGCCAGAATATGTACTTTCTTAAGCAGGGGAACGTTTGACTCTGCAGGATCTGAGTACCTGGTGGTCTAGTGGATTTTTCAATTACTTTAGATTGTTTAACACCTTGCAGTGTGAAAGTGAACCATACCAGCTAAAATGTAACAAATGTTGTAATTTCAGTCTTCAGTCCCCAATTGAACTGAGTCACTGGACTAGCAGGTGTGAAAACACCCTTAGTGGAGTTAATGCAAGTCAAAGCATACACTTAATTTTCTGAGATAACACAATGACATTTAAGCAGATAATAATGGAATTTGAATTATTGGAATCACACATACCCGTCTTCACAGATTACTGTAGCCATTGCACCAATTATAGTACCCTCTTCGGTTTCAAATGACATGTGCGGTTTTGTTTCTGGGACACCACAGTCTGACCCTTTGATATAAAGAAACAACAAAAACAAAACAAACAACCCCCCCCCAAAAAAAAGTAGACATTATTTTAGGATTACATAAAGCCAAGATGACCATGAAAGGCATGATGGATGACTGTTTGTAAGATGTAAAATGCAAGTTAAACAAGACTCACGCTTGCAGTTGCTTCACAGCAGGTATAGTGTTCTTTGGATGCAACTCAGCATTCACTCTCCTCCAAACACAAATCAAATTTATACCAAACTGTTCAACTTTGGTTTCATCTGACCATGTGACATTCTCCCAATGCTGTTGTGGAACATCCAAATGCTCTCTAGTAATCTTCAGATGGGCCAGGATATGTACTTTCTTAAGCAGGGGAACGTTTGACTCTGCAGGATCTGAGTACCTGGTGGTCTAGTGTGTTACTGAGAGTAGCCTTTGTTGCGTTAGACCCAACCTTCTGCAGGTCATTCTGCCCCACCTCCATTTTCTTTTGGGTGACTGTGAGTCTGGAGGTAGAGCAGTCATCTGTGATAGGAAGGTGGAAGGTTAAAGTCCAGCATCCCCTGCCACATGTTGGTGTGCTCCTGGGCAAGGCACATAACTGACAAATTGCTTTCCAGTCTGTGTATCGGTTTACAAATGTGTGAGCATTTATGAATGCAAATGGGTGAATGTAACTCTAATGTAAAGCGCTTTAAGTGGTCAAAATGATTGGAAAAGCTGTATATGTTCAGCCCATTTACCATTTTCCATCTGAAATTTTTGATGCATGGAGTGAGATCCTTCTTGGATCCCTAATCAAGCGGTATTATCAGTAGTCTTGAATGTCTTCCATTTTCTCATTACTGCTCCCACAGAACAATACAAGCACAATAACAAACAAAAATAATGCTGGCTATGTAATTTTTTTTCAAAGAGAGTTTCATAGGGGCTGCACAGTGGAGCAGTTGGTAGCTATGTTGCCTTTCAGCAAGAAGGTCCTGGGTTCAATTCCCAGTTCGGCGTCTTTCTGCACGGAGTTTGCATTTTCTCAATGTACATGCATGGTTTCTCACCGGGTTCTACAGCTTCCTCCCACAGACCAAAAACAACGTTCAGGTAAATTGGTCTCTCTAAATTCTCCCTAGCTGTGTGTGTGTGCATGGCTGTTTATGTTGTGTGAAGAAGAAAGTCACATTTGTGTCTTCTTTTAAGCTTTTCATGTTATTTTCTTCAGTAGCTGATGCAACTGCCACACCACCAAAGGCGAGTAGGTGAGCAGGATTTTTCAATTACTTTGGATTGTTTAACACCTTGCAGTGTGAAAGTGAACCATACCAGATAAAATGTAACACATGTTGTAATTTCAGTCTTCAGTCCCCAATTGAACTGAGTCGACTGGACTATCAGGTGTGAAAACACCCTTAGTGGAATTACTGCAAGTCACCACATACACTTAATTTTCTGAGATAACACAATGACATTTTAGCAGATTATAATGGAATTTGAATACTTGGAATCATACACACCCGTCTTCACAGATTACTGTAGCCATTGCACCAATTATAGTACCGTGGCTGGTATCAAATGACATGTGCGGTGTTGCTTCTGGGACACCACAGTCTGACCCTTTGATATAAAGAAACAACAAAAACAAAACAAACAACCAAAAAAAATTTAAAAAAGTAGACATTATTGTAGGATTACAAAGAGCCAAGATGACCATGAAAGGCATGATGGATGACTGTTGGTTAGATGTAAAATGCAAGTTAAACAAGACTCACTCTTGCAGATGATATCTTGCTTGGTCCACTTCCCATTGACACATCTAATGATTCCAGTGCCACCTATTTGATCACACCCCTTCATGCATTCATATTTGATCACAGTACCACTTGGAAAAATCCTTTTTCGGAGGGACTCAGCAGAGAGAACTGTGTTCTGTACATGTTGAGGTTTGGAACAGTCAGCTAGGAGAAAATAAAAATAAAGAAAAATCACACACAAACACATACACACATAAAAGCAAAGCTATTATGTATGTATAAAAACGTTTGCAGATAACACAAATCGTAAGTGTCTCTTTTATGGAAAAATATGTTGTGAATGGCCCATCTGGGAACATGCATTGCAAATCAGCTAAAGCTATAAATGTTACAGTGTTCATAATTTGTTTATACTTAACACTTGTCCCCATTCAAAAAAACAATACAGAAAAAAGCATCTTTTACTTTTTTAATCATGTTAGAAATTTAATGACATTTGACAAAAACCTATGAGATAAATTAAAAAATAACCATTGGTCATGATGTTAGGTTATCTTATGAAGCCTGAATAAAAACACAAGAACTTACGGACACATCGTGGTGACTGAGAATCATATCCACCAGTTTCAGTACACCTAATGGTTTCATTCCCAAACAAGGTGTATCCTGTGTTACATGTGAAACGTATAGTTTGTCGATATTCTGGTTCAAGATCATTATTCCAAGAATGTCTGCCATTTTCCACTCTGGTCGGTTTGGGACAAGTAACAACTGCAAAAATTGGCAAAAGAAAAAGAAAATTGCTGTTACAGGTACAAAATACTTTAGTTGAAAAAAAAGAGAAGAATTTAAACTGAAAAACATTTACCTTCACAATTTGCAGTCTGTTTGTTAGATGTAAAATGCAAGTTAAACAAGACTCACGTTTGCAGATGATATCTGGCTTGGTCCACTTCCCATTGACACATCTAATGATCCCAGTGCCACTTATTTTATTATATCCAATTATGCACTGATATTTGATCACAGTACCACTTGGAAAAATACTTTTTAGGAGGGACTCAGCAGAGAGAACTGTGTTCTGTACATGTTGAGGATTGGAACAGTCAGCTAGGAGAAAATAAAAATGAAGAAAAATCACACACAAACACACACATAAAAGCAAAGTTGTTGTTGTGGCATTTGGTTATTTAAAAACATATTCTAAAAAATATGTTTAAAAAACAAATTAGTTGAAGCTTATATTTGAACACAAAAAAGTGTCAAATGTTTGGACATGATGTTTGCGTAAGCGCAAAATTTCTGTATGTAAACAATGGCATGCAAGGTGTCTGTATTTATAAATCTGATTAAGTCAATGCCTCACAAGCTATGAACCTAACTGGACGTCCTGGGAATCAGGGAAGGAAATTTAGCATGTTCTCCATTGCTCACAGTGGCTGGTGAATAAAACATTTCATCGATTTTTTCACCAGCCACTTTTTTTTTGTCTTTGTATTGTCATCCGTTCTTAAAATTACTTTGATCATGTTACAATGTGTTGCTTTTTTTAGATATTTATAGCCAAATTGTCAGGGAGTTTTAACATATATTTAATGCTCATTGTCAAAAGATGGGGCAATAATTTTCATACAACTTAATATAAATATACATTTTATTTCAGTGATTTTGTCACAAAGTACAAAATAAGCTAAATATAATACATTTTTGGATTATGCTTGTATTGTATAAACTTTGAATTGTGGTTGGGATTTTTAACTCTATTATATAAACAACCACAAACCACAGGATATTTTTTTGGGTACGGGGGGTTTCAGCACATCAATGAAAATATTGCAACAAAAGATTCTAACTTTTCCTCTTTTACAATTTCACTGCAAGATCGAAAGTAATTGTCTCTTTTATGGAAAAATATGTTGTGAATGGCTCATTTGGGAATGTGCATTGCAAAACAGCTAAAGTTATAAATGTTATAGTGTTCATAATTTGTTTATACTTAACACTTGTCCCCATTCAAAAAAACAATAAATGGTAAAATGGACTGAATTTATATAGCACTTTTCCAGTCATTTTGACCAATCAAAGCGCTTTATACTAGTGTCACATTCACCCATTCACACACCGATACGCAGACCGGTAGGCATTTTGGGGTTAAGTGCCTTGCCCAGAGGAACATCGACATATGGCAGGAGGAAGCTGGAATCGAACCTACAACCTTCCGATTGCAAGACGACAACTCTGCCACACAGCCACAGTCACCCCAAAAAGAACAAAAGCATCTTTTACTTTTTTGATCATGTTAGAAATTTAATGACACTTGACAAAAACCTATGAGATAAATTAAAAAATAACCGTTAATCATGTTGTTAGGTTTTCATCTCAGGATGGATCATTGTCAGTTTTATACTGTGGTGAAATGATAGGCTGGACAATGAGCTAATTTACAAGTACTGGAAAGAAGATTTGTGTTATTTGGAAGCTTTTTGTATCTTGTCTCAGCTAACTGATCTTCTATGAAGCCTGAATAAAAAGCACAAGAACTTACGGACACATCGTGGTGGCTGAGAATCATATACACCAGTTACAGTACACCTAATGGTTTCATTCCCAAACAAGGTGTATCCTGTGTTACATGTGAAACGTATAGTTTGTCGATATTCTGGTTCAAGATCATTATTCCAAGAATGTCTGCCATTTTCCACTCTGGTCGGTTTGGGACAAGTAACAACTGCAAAAATTGGCAAAAGAAAAAGAAAATAGCTTTTTCAGGTACAAAATACTTTAGTTGAAAAAAAGAGAAGAATTTAAACTGAACAACATTTACCTTCACAATTTGCAGTTCCAAACCATCCTGTGTCAAGACAATGTTTGAAACGCGATCCATTGAGCCGGAAACTGCATAAAATCAAAAGAATTCATAAAGACTGTTAGTATCTATTTGACAATAAGAAGAGTTCAGCTGATGAATAGCATTTAATAATTAAAGATAATGCTACTAATTTTATATTTTATATTTACTCTTTCACACAGAGTCATAGTTTGCTGATGGAATGCAAAAACCCAACCTTTAAGGAGATAGCAGGCTATATTCCTTCTCAAAATAGCGATGGCTATATCATCTTTTTTATGAAAGAAAAACTTTTGTTTTGCTTTAAAGTAAAATTGCACAGAATAGATGCACATCTCTCCATGCTGCCTTTGTTGCACCATTTTACATAGATAGAAAGAATCATGATAGTTCTGTTAATTTGCTTCTCTCATGCAGCATTGTAATGGAGTGAGACAAAACATAACACATGTTGCTCAATGTCATAAAGTGAAGGAAAAAAGCTAATTATTAAACCAAAACAATAATAAACTGGCAAATAAAGAATACATTTTGATAGATAACTGAAAAAAAAAATAATTAAAGGCAGCTTTTTAGTTTTTGCCATTTGTTTAACAACCTTTACGAAATACATAACTGACTCACAAAAAAGTTATGTCTAACTTCTCATAAATCAAAAAAACAAAAAAAACTCTCTTCTGCAGTTCACAAAAGATTAAAGGGCTACCTATAAGAGCTAATTCATAACACATAATAGAACAATTTGGTTAAATATCTGCATTTTAACAGTGTGTTTCAGACAAAATGTCAACATAGGCTTCTATCTTCTGCCATTAGGTCATTGTTCAGACTAAAAATATGTTTGCATCAGCTTTACATGAAGACTGGGAGGAAGGAACAAAGCATGCTCCTAAGTTGCTTTTTTTTCATGCAGCAGACAGATGGAAGGTTAGGAGAGTGAAAAAGACCCTCGTAGTGGATGTGGCACTATCAATTAATCCAAGAAAAGAGTTACTAATTGATTACTGATATATGGATTGCAATATTCTTAAATAAATAATACCACCATTAATCCATCCATCCATTTTTTTTTCTTACACCCTTATCCCATCGGGGTCGGGAAGGGTACTGGTGCCTATCTCCAGCTGTCACAACAATCAATCAAATATGAAAAATATGTTTTTTTCTCGGTGTATGCAACATAGTCCCATCATTCTGCAGGTCATTCTGCCCCCTCCCTGTTTTTTTCGGGGTGAATCTGGAGGTAGAGCAGTCATCTTGTCACTGGAAGGTGGTAGGTTTAATTCCAGCTTCCTCTTGCCACATGTTGGTGTGCTCCTGGGCAAGGCACATAACTGACAAATTGCTTTCCAGTTTGTGTATCGGTTTACAAATGTGTGAGCATTTATGAATGCAAATGGCTGAATGTAACTCTAATGTAAAGCGCTTTAAGTGGTCAAAATGATTGGAAAAGCTGTAGATGTTCAGCCCATTTACCATTTTTCATCTGGAATTTTTGATGCATGGAGTGAGATCCTTCTTGGATCCCTAATCAAGCGGTATTATCAATAATCTTGAATGTCTTCCATTTTCTCATTACTGCTCCCACAGAACAATACAAGCACAATAACAAACAAAAATAATGCTGGATATGTAATTTTTTTTAAAAGAGAGTTTCATAGGGGCTGCACAGTGGAGCAGTTGGTAGCAATGTTGCCTTGTAGCAAGAAGGTCCTGCGTTCAATTCCCAGCATGGCGTCTTTCTGCATAAGTTTGCATTTTCTCAATGTACATGCATGGGTTCTCACCTGGTTCTACGGCTTCCTCCCACAGACCAAAAACAACTTTCAGGTAAATTGGTCTCTCTAAATTTTCCCTAGCTGTGTGTGTGTGTGCATGGTTGTTTATGTTGTGTGAAGAAGAAAGTCACACTCGTGTCTTCTTTTAAGTTTTTTATGTTATTTTCTTCAGTAGATCTTGATGGAACTGCCACACCACCAAAGGCGAGTAGGTGACAAGGATTTTTCAATTACTTTGGATTGTTTAACACCTTGCAGTGTGAAAGTGAACCATACCAGCTAAAATGTAACACATGTTGTAATTTCAGTCTTCAGTCCCCAATTGAACTGAGTCGACTGGACTATCAGGTGTGAAAACACCCTTAATTGAGTTACTGCAAGTCACCACATACACTTAATTTTCTGAGATAACACAATGACATTTAAGCAGATAATAATGGAATTTAAATACTTGGAATCATACATACCCTTCTTCACAGGTTACTGTAACCACAGCACCAAATAGAGTACCCTGGCTGGTATCAAATACCATGTGCTGTTTTGCTTCTGGGAGACCACAGTTTTTCTCTTTGATATAAAGAAACAACAAAAACAAAACAAACAACAACAAGAAAAAAAAAAAAAAAAAAAAAAAAGAAAAGTAGACATTATTGTAGGATTACATAGTGCCAAGATGACCATGAAAGGCATGATGGATGACTGTTTGTTAGATGTAAAATGCAAGTTAAACAAGACTCACTCTTGCAGATGATATCTGGCTTGGTCCACTTCCCATTGACACATCTAATGATCCCAGTGCCACTTATTTGATCATATCCAATTATGCACTGATATTTGATCACAGTACCACTTGGAAAAATGCTTTTTCGGAGGGATTCAGCAGAGAGAACTGTGTTCTCTATATGTTGAGGTTTGGAACAGTCAGCTAGGAGAAAATAAAAATAAAGAAAAATCACACACACATAAATGCAAAGCTGTTGTTGTGGTATTTGGTAATTTAAAAATTATTCAAAAAAATATGTTTGAGAAACTAACTAGTTGAAGCTTATGTTTGAACACAAAAAAGTGTCAAATGTTTCTGTAAGTAAACAATGGCATGCAAGGTGTCTGTATTTATAAATCTGATTAAGTCAGTGCTTCACCAGCTATGAACCTAACTGGACGTCCTGGGAATCAGGGAAGGAAATTTAGCATGTTCTCCATTGCTCACAGTGGCTGGTGAAGAAAACATTTCATCGACTTTTTCACCAGCCACTTTTTTTTTGTCTTTGTATTGTCATCCGTTCTTAAAATTACTTTGATCATGTTACAATGTGTTGCTTTTTTTTAGATATTATCAAAGGATGGGGCAATAATTTTCATAGAGTTTAATATAAATAATCATTTTACTTCAGTGATTTTGTCACAAATTACAATATAAGCAGAATAATAAAAAATTTTTGGATTATGCTTGTATTGTATAAACTTTGAATTGTGGTTGGGATTTTTAACTCTATTATATAAACAACCACAAACCACAGGATATTTTTTTGGGTACGGGGGGTTTCGGCACATCAATGAAAATATTGAAACAAAAGATTCTAATTTTTCTTCTTTTACAATTTCACTGCAAGAACAAAATTAAGTGTCTCTTTTATGGAAAAATATGTTGTGAATGGCCCATCTGGGAATGTGCATTGCAAACCAGCTAAAGCTATAAATGTTATAGTGTTCATAATTTGTTTATACTGAACACTAATAAAGAACAAAAGCATCTTTTACTTTTTTGATCATGTTAGAAATTAAAAAATAACTGTTAGTCATGATGTTGTTAGGTTTCCATCTCAGGATGGATCATTGTCAGTTTTGTACAGTGGAGAAATGATAGGCTAGACAATCAGTTAATTTACAAGTAGTGGAAAGACGATTTGTGTTATTTGCAAGCTTTTTGTATCTTGTCTCAGCTAACTGATCTTCTATGAAGCCTGGAAAAAAGCACAAGAACTTACGGACACATCGTGGTGGCTGAGAATCATATCCACCAGTTTCAGTACACCTAATGATTTCATTCCCAAACAAGGTGTATCCTGTGTTACATGTGAAATGTACAGTTTCTCGATATTCTGGTTTACGAACATTATTCCAAGAATGTCTGCCATTTTCCACTCTGGTCGGTTTGGGACAAGTAACAACTGCAAAAATTGGAAAAAGAAAAAGAAAATTGCTGTTTAAGGTACAAAATACTTTAATTGAGAAAAAAAAGAGAATAATTTAAACTGAACAGAGCTAAAAAAAAACTGTTAGTCATGATGTTGTCAGGTTTCCATCTCAGGATGGATCATTGTCAGTTTTATACAGTAGTGAAATGATAGGCTGGACAATCAGCTAATTTACAAGTAGTGGAAAGATGATTCATGTTATTTGCAAGCTGTTTGTATCTTGTCTCAGCTAACTGATCTTCTATGAAGCCTGAAAAAAAGCACAATTACTTACTGACACATCGTGGTGGCTGAGAATCATATCCACCAGTTTCAGTACACCTAATGGTTTTATTCCCAACCAAGTTGTATCCTGTGTTACATGTGAAATATACAGTTTCTTGATATTCTGGTTTACGGACATTATTCCAAGAATGTCTGCCATTTTCCACTCTGGTCGGTTTGGGACAAGTAACAACTGCAAAAATTGGAAAAAAAAAAAAGAAAGAAAATTGCTGTTTAAGGTACAAAATACTTTAATTGAGAAAAAAAAGAGAATAATTTAAACTGAACAGAGCTAAAAATAACTGTTAGTCATGATGTTGTTAGGTTTCCATCTCAGGATGGATCATTGTCAGTTTTATACAGTAGTGAAATGGTAGGCTGGACAATGAGCTAATTTACAAGTAGTGGAAAGACGATTTGTGTTATTTGGAAGCTGTTTGTATCTTGTCTCAGCTAACTGATCTTCTATGAAGCCTCATAAAAAGCACAATTACTTACTGACACATCGTGGTGGCTGAGAATCATATCCACCAGTTTCAGTACACTCAATGATTTCATTCCCAACCAAGTTGTATCCTGTGTTACATGTGAAACGTATAGTTTGTCGATATTCTGGTTTACGGACATTATTCCAAGAATGTCTGCCATTTTCCACTCTGGTCGGTTTAGGACAAGTAACAACTGCAAAAATTGGAAAAAGAAAAAGAAAATTGCTGTTTCAGGTACAAAATACTTTAATTGAGAAAAAAAGAGAATAATTTAAACTGAACAGAGCTAAAAATAACTGTTAGTCATAATGTTGTTAGGTTTCCATCTCAGGATGGATCATTGTCAGTTTTATACTGTGGTGAAATGATAGGCTGGACAATGAGCTAATTTAAAAGTAGTGGAAAGACGATTTGTGTTATTTGGAAGCTTTTTGTATCTTGTCTCAGCTAACTGATATTCTATGAAACCTGAAAAAAAGCACAATTACTTACTGACACATCGTGGTGGCTGAGAATCATATCCACCAGTTTCAGTACACCTAATGGTTTCATTCCCAACCAAGTTGTATCCTGTGTTACATGTGAAACGTATAGTTTGTCGATATTCTGGTTCAAGATCATTATTCCAAGAATGTCTGCCATTTTCCACTCTGGTCGGTTTGGGACAAGTAACAACTGCAAAAATTGGAAAAAGACAAAGAAAATAGCTGTTTATGGTACAAAATACTTTAATTGAGAAAAAAAAAGAGAATAATTTAAACTGAACAGAGCTAAAAATAACTGTTCGTCATGATGTTGTTAGGTTTCCATCTCAGAATGGATCATTGTCAGTTTCATACTGTGGTGAAATAATAGGCTGGACAATCAGCTAATTTACAAGTAGTGGAAAGACGATCTGTGTTATTTGCAAGATGTTTGTATCTTGTCTCAGCTAACTGATCTTCTATGAAGCCTGAATAAAAGCACAAGAACTTACTGACACATCGTGGTGGCTGAGAATTATAAACACCAGTTTCAGTACACCTAATGGTTTCATTCCCAACCAAGTTGTATCCTGTGTTACATGTGAAACGTATGGTTTGTCGATATTCTGGTTTACGGACATTATTCCAAGAATGTCTGCCATTTTCCACTTCATCCGGTGTGAGACAAGTTACAGCTGGACAAATTGGCAAAAGAAAAAGAAAATTGCTGTTTAATGTACAAAATACTTTAGTTGAGTAAAAAAGAGAATAATTGAACAGAGCTAAAAAATAACTGTTAGTCATGATGTTGTTAGGTTTCCATCTCAGGATGGATCATTGTCAGTTTTATACTGTAGTGAAATGACAGGCTGGACAATCAGCTAATTTACAAATAGTGGAAACATGGTTTACTTTATTCACAAGTGTATTTGTAAACTGTTTGTATGTTGTCTTAGCTAACATATTTTCTATAGATTCTGAAATAAAGCACAAGAACTTACCAATGCATTTTGGTGGCTCAGGATCATATTTGCCTCTTCTATTGCACGTAATGGTTTTACTCCCATGCAAGTTGTATCCTGGGTTACAAGTGAAATTTATACTTTGTCGATATTCTGGTTTACGGTGACTAGTCCAAGTATGTGCGCCATTTCCTATACTCGGTATGGAACAAGTAACATCTGAAAAAATTGGCAAAAGAAAAAGAAAGTTGCTGTTACAGGCACAAATTACTTCAGCTGAAAAAAAGGAGAGAATAATTTATACTGAACAATACTCACATACACAACGTCCATCTCCAAACCATCCTGTGTGGGTGCAACGTTTTATGCTCCATCCAGAGAGCTTGTAACTGCATAAAGTCAAAAGAAGTAATGAAGACTAAAAGAATTTGTTTGACCATAAGAAAAGTTCAGCTGGTGAATAACATTTAATAATTAAAGATTATGCTGCTAATTTTACATTTTCTATTTACTTTTTCACACAGAATCATAGCTTTCTGATGGGATGCAAAAAATCCTTCTCTTCTCAAAATAGTGATGGCTATATAATCTTTTTTATGAAAGAGAAACTTTTGTTTTCTTTAACGTAAAATTGCACAACATGGATGCACATCTCTCCGTGCTGCCGATGTTGCATCCTTGAACATAGAGAGCAAGAATCAGGATAGTTCTGTTAACTTGCTTCTCTCATGCAGCATTGTAATGGAGTGAGACATAAACACTGTCAAAGTGGAGGGAAAAAGCTAATTACATAAGCAAAGTAATAATAAACTGGCAAATAAAGAATACATTTTTATATTTATGCAAAATAAAATGACTAAAGGCAGGTTTCTAGTTTCTGCCATTAGATTTACAATACAAAATACATAACTGACTCACAGAAAGATTATGTCTAACAACTCATAAAACAAACAAACAAACAAAAAACAACCCTCTTCTGCAGTTCACAAAATAAAAAAAGGATTACCTATAAGAGCTTATTAATAACACATAATAGAACAATTTGGTTAAATATCTGCATTTTAACAGTTTGTTGCAGACAAAATGTCAGCGTAGGCTTCTTTCTTCTGCCATTAGGTTATTGTTCAGACTACAAATATGTTTGCATTAGCTTTACAAAAAGACTGGGAGGAAGGAACAAAGCATGCTCCTAAGTTGCTTTGTTTCATGCAGCAGATTGATGGAAGGTTAGGAGAGTGAAAAAGCCCCTCGTAGTGGATGTGTCACTATCAATTAATCCAAGAAATGTTACTAATTGATTACTAATTTGTGGATTGCAATTTTCTTAAATTAAATAAGAAAATTATTTGTCCATCCATTTTTTTTCTTACACCCTTATCCCATCAGGGTCGGGATTGGTGCTGGTGCCTATCTCCAGCTGTCACAACGACTAATCACTTATGAAAAATATGTTTTTAACAAAGTTTGTATTATAGGTAATATTAACAGACTTATTTGAAATATTAACATTGACTGTAAACCTTTTTAATGTAAACTCTTCTAATAATAAATCACATAACAACTGCATAAAATATGTGCAAATTGCACTGGAGATAGAATAATAGTCCTTCAACCTATTCCACCTGTCTTTAGCAACCATTGCAAAAAGGTCATTCATACTCCCTCATCAGGTATGTTTTACTCATGGTGAAAAAAGTAGTCATTTTTAATAATATATTAAATATTTGAATTTTAAATCAGGATATTAGCTCAGATTTTCTTTACTGAATATTCACACATAAAAAAAGCACTGAATTGAACTCATAACGCAAGAAATTTCTATAAAATTTAGATCTGAAAAAATATATATATAAACAACTCCATAAACCTTATAAAACTCAATTCAACTCAGTTAATGTTACATTTTATTTTGACATATATTTGTACAAATTTTACTGGCTCTAATGTTTGTATTTTTAAATGTGTGGATATATCTATATGAAATTTAATTGCTACATATTACATAAATACTGGTATTGCAGCAATGAACATGTTAGTGTCCCTCATGATTTCGGGCACATTCATACCTAACACATTTGGTCTGGTTTGAACAGATCAAAGTTTGTTTCCCCTGTTGGTCCAGACCTTTTATGGAGCTGTGAATACAGTCATGCAAATCCTGGTGTGAACCAAACAACGAGACTGAGACTAATTTTTTAGGTGATCTCTTGACTTGCAGTAAATTGGCCTCAAAATCTTAGTCTCAGTTTGATTAAAGTGAAATCTGGAACAATTATTTTTAGGTTCTCTGCTTTCAAACTAATTCTCGTACAGTTTGCCTTGGTGCAAACCAAATACATGAAATATCCATCTTTTTAGACTACACAATTCCTTGTTGGTCCGTATTATGGTAAAAATGAACACATCAGAGATGCCTGCACTTCCATATGTGGTGATTTTAATGAACTTGTAGCTGTTCTCCTGTTTTCTGCTTAGCAATGCTGTTGCCAGTTTGTGTTGGGTCAGCGCAGGTGGAACAAACACATTTGCAAACTCTGTTTCAAAATTAGAAATATTCCATCGCTATTTCTGTGTCAATGGGGTGAACAAGTTTTTTAATTACTTTGAATTGTTTAAAAAAGTACAGTGTGAAAGCGAACCACACCAGTTAAAATGGAACAAATGTTGCAATTTTGGCCCTCAGTTGAACTGAGCCAAGCAGACTGACGGACATGAAAAGATTGTTTTGAGTTCTTGCAAGTCAAGACATACACTTGATTTTCTGAGACAAAACAATGTCATTGAAGCAGATAAACTAATTTAAATATTTGTAATCATACATACCCTTTTTCACAAGACATAAAAACCGATGCACCAAGTAGAGTCCCCTGCCTGGTGTCAAGTATCATGTGTGGTTGTGGTTCAGGGGGACCACAGTCCATGGCTTTAATATAAAAATACAACAAAAATAAGAATACAAAAGAACAACAGGCATCAGTGTGATATTATCTTGAGCGAAGATGACAATGTAAAGCATGTTAGATAACTGTTTTTGTCAGATGTAAATTGCAAGTTAGACAGGACTCACGCCTGCAGGTGATGTCTGGCTTGGTCCACTTCCCATTGACGCAGGTCATCTTCCCAGTGCCACTTACTTTATTATATCCAAGTATGCACTTATACTTGATCACAATACCATCAGGGAATTTTTTTATTTTAAGAGATTCCTCTGTGATCTCTATGTCTACTCTATTTGTAGGTTTTTTACAATCAGCTAGGAGAAAAGAAAAATGAAGAAAAATGACACAAAGACACATAAAAGCAAAGCTGTTATTGTGACTTTGGTTATTTTAAAATGACTCTCCAACATAAGTTGAAAAATATGTTAGTTGAAGTAAGACTGGGGCATATGAGAAAAATCTAATATCCTGATATATTTTTACTATGTCACGATACACAGTATACAATATTCTTAAATGAACTGCAATGTTATTTCAATCTGGAGAGACTCAGACGGAGTAAAGGGAAACCAGTAGAAGAGTTTATTGATATACAAATTAGAGTCTTTGGCACAGGGGCCCCAGCTGAGGACATCAATTATCACAAACTTTCCGATGGGCTCGGATGAGCATTCCGTATGCTGAGAGGAACGTTATCCCCCGGGACCCGACAGTGGTGGTGGAGGCGATGAAGGATGTGGCCGAATGGCTGAGCAAGTGGAGGTGAAGGGGTGGAGGTGGGTTGAGCTCTGCTGGAAGCGGGAGACGCCATGGATGATGGTCCTTATCAGCTGGAATATGGGCGGTGATTGGATGTGACGCATCTTGGACCAGCGTTGATTAATCAATGGTGATGAGCATGCTGCACCGGTTGGGGTTAGAAGAGTCTTCCAGTTTGAATTTGCACCTGGGCTTCATTTTATAAATCCCTTGCAGCATGATGTCACACACTCACACTTTACCGCCCCCATTTCCCTGCTAGACTTAAATGTAAGCTCATATAAAAATGGATTCAGTATTTTGCGTAGGAACTAACAGCAGATGGTAGCAGTGAGCTTCAGGTTCTGTAAACGGATTTGATTACAGAACTAGTGAGGGGGCAGTGAAATGCTAATGTTAAATCCACCCATATGTCCAATATTAACTGCATGTTTTTAAATGCTGACGTCAGTAATTCCTTTTTAAGTCTCCAAATCCTTTTGGATTGATATTGATGCTCTGTACCAATTACTTTTTTCTAAACTTTATTGTCTTATGTACATACATCTATAGTAGATTGTTTTTTATCAGTACTTTTGACTCGGTAGACATTATAGATCATATGACGAACTGCGAACGTCCAGCAAATGTTTTGTCAAATCTTAATAAATGTCTGATGGACGTTTGCTGTTGATTTGACGCTCTGCGTCGTTATGACAACGTTAAGTGGACGTTGTCATAACGTTTAATGCTAGACGGGTAGTTGTTAAAGTTAAGGTTATTTTAAATAAAAGTGTTCTTATTAGTCAAAGTGACCCTGACATCAAACAAAACGTAATATGTTTTTATATGTGACAACAAAAATTAGTACAATATTATATCTTTGAAGCCGGTTTGGCCGGTGACGTACTGACCTGCAACGTTCCCGATAAATAGGCACAGGATAAGGAGTTTTCTCTGTCTGCCGATGTCAACTAAACCCTCCATAGATGTGGAAGGAAATACAAACCATCCGGATGAAGCTGCCTCTACATCAGTCCAACTTTAGTCATGGAAATGTGGTGTGTAGAGACGCTCCTCACGGTGGAAATGATTCTCCTTCCATTGAAGTCAATTCATTTTCTTTAGTTACTAGAGGGAAATGAGGTGAGGTTGAAAATTTTCAAAATAAAAGTCTTGGTTTCCCAACATAAGTTACTGTTTTGGAATTCACTAATTCAAACAAACGACTTTCACAAGAATCCTAACCACGAAGCAATTTACATGCTTAATGACATTGTGTAATTAATTGATTTATTAATTCATTGTAATTAATTAATTATCTAATCTCCTGAGTGGAATTTTGGACATTTGTATTTCACTTTGTTTTCAAATACAAACTGATAAACTGATCTTTGATAGATCTCCCTTCAAATTATGCATTAGGAGAGTAACTGATGAACTTTGAATACAGTGAGTTATGTTATTAGAATTTAGTAATATGCTTTTATAACATGTTATTGAAAAGAAGGTAGCCACTGCCAAAAAGGTAAATAACATTACAAAATATTTGTACACAACAAATTTGTATTCGTATTTTATCTTTTTGGTAAGGGTAGATATCGTGCTGGTGTCATACTATCGTTATAGAAATAAGTTCAGCAATTCACCCAAAGAAACTGAAAACTATTCCTGCAGACATGAATTCCTCTTACTGTAAAAATAGTCTTGGCACTTTTTTCCTTTCCATTTGTATCTTCAGTTTTTTTTGTTTTGAGTAAAATAAAAGCTGGATAATCACTTATCCATTCTTACTTTTCATAATAATTTGGTAAGCTAAATGTACTGTGTTGCACTTTGAGCTGAGGTGACGTTACAGCACCTGGTTTATATGCAGTACCACTACAGGGATCACGTGGACCACCACTAGTTCCAGGAACACAGTTTGAGAACGACTGAGAAAGATGATAATTAATTCATATCAGTCACTTTTAATTATTTTAATATAATTCTTCACTTATTAAAGCTAAAGAAATTTGACTTAATTCAGTAGCAGTGATCAACCAGACTTTGATTTGAATATTATTTTATTATTTTTATCTAAAAAATTCAGAACAAGGACAGAGAAAATCAGCAAAGTTTTATTTTTAGTGCATGAACAGAATACCATGTCCTTAGCCGGGGCCCGAGCGCCAAAGACTTAATTTATGCACGTCAATAAACTTTTCTAATCGCTTTCTTTCTGTGTCTGAGTCTCTCCAGATTGAACTGTATTAAACCCACTGTATCATTCCTCAACAACTTGGATTATATGTCAGTCCTGATAAAACATCACATAACAGAAAAACCTGGAAACTCACAGGCGTAATATTTATGAAGACATTTTAGCTACACTTTTTTCAATGACTGAAATAATTTAGAACATAAGTAGAAAAAGTGTTTACAACACATTTAGTAATAAAAGAAATTAAGTGAAATAAAGTATTTTCAATCTTTTAGTGATTATGTCAGAGTAATTATAAAAACGCTCTCTTTGCCTGTGCAGCATATCTTCCCCTTCTCTCATTACTGACTTTCCTGTTTAACTGATCTCACCTAAAGGCCACTACAGCCAATGAAACTGTTAAGAAAACGTGCATCTAAAAATTAAACTTTGAAACAATACAATTGCCTTCATGATGTTTAGTTTTCTTCTTTTGAAGTGAAAACAAATATAAGTTGATAAAAGGGAGCCTTCTTGTTTTATCCAAGGCGTGGTAAGGCGCTCAGAGTTCAGCAGTCCTTCATCTGTAGTAAATGTCCCAACAGCTGGGTTCAGTTCCAACTGAGAAAGAAACAGATAAGAAACCAAAGACTAACTGTTTAATCAGAGTTGCATTTTGATTGTAGAGGGGGAAAAAATGACAATCGGATCAAGAGCTATTTCTTCTTGCTTCAATATGAAAATCATATTAAAATTTTATGTTTCACACAGAAAATTACAAGAAGAAAAATGAAGAAGTTAAACCGGTTTAAACAGGATTGTTTGGTATTCTGATGGTCTTAGGTCAAAAAATACATACAATGAATACCTGAATGAAGAAGGATACTTAAAGAGTGTGGAACTGTAATGGCTCCAACGTCAGCTCTTCTCTAGTGTCATATGAACTATAGGGTCACCAATTAAGAAATTTGTGTAAGAATTATTGGACAGTTCATTTTTTAAAAATAAAAGGTTAACTAATTAATGCATTTGTAACTAGCATTCCATGGAATTAAAGGTTAATCATTTTAATAAAAATATTTTTGAATTAAAAAAAAATACCAGTCAATTTATACAAAATCAAGGCTGCCTTTTACCCAATTGTAGATTAACAAACACTTAGCCACCTTGAAGGAAGCAGTGATCATTGACCAGTCTAAACTTTGTGTCTTGTATCTTCACATCAAGAATAGGTGACAAGAAAAAAAATCTTGAACATCTTTCAGCCTGGCTAAAACTTTATGAGGCAATTTGTAAGGCTTTATGACTCCAGTGAAGTACACAGGCAGTCATTATAATCAACCGTGCAAAACTTAAACTCTTCTATTTCTGATGTCGACGTCGTCAACGTTATGGGGATATTAATTTGTTTGGACAGGAGCCTGTGGTGGTGTTTGCATATACACTCGTGAGTTTTTGTTTTTTTTTTTTTTTTTTTTCTTTTACCATAAACTGCTGATCTTTCTATATGCAGGGAATTTACCATGATTATGATCACTACTGTTACATCCCTCTTAGAGCCAACATTAAGAGTGTGCGCTACAGTTCTTGCAGATGGAAGTCATCACTGATGGAAGTCATTGATGGAAGAGGCTATTTTCATTGTTACTGGAGACTTTAATCAGGCCAATCTGAAGATGATTCTCCTTTTTATCCATCAGCACGTGGACTTTGCAACCAGAGGTTAGAGTCGCTGTGTCCAGGGCTCACAGCCTGCTACCACATTGCTGTTAGGGTGGCAGGAGGGAGAACAACCCCTCACCATGTTCTGCCTGCTACCCTCTGGGAAAAAGTGCAGCAGCTTCAAATGCAGAGCAAACAGATTCCTCAAAAACTTCATCCTTCATGTCATACTAAACTCGCGTTCATTTAATGTTTCATTGTATACATTAACACTTTTTAATTATTATTTATTTTATTATTACTATTGGAGCTTTGCAACAAAAATTTGTTCCCAACATGTACATTTTTATGTGTACAATTGAATGACAATAAAGTCTGTCTCTGTCTACCTTTTTAAATGTGACCTGAATCTAAACAGCAAGGCTGTATTCATCCAATCTGAACGCCATTGATAAACGACAAATGTCACCATTCTGTGTCCTGATACGCATAAGCGGGAAGAAAAACAACAACCATGAAGGACTATAATGAGGATAAAGTTGTTAATGAGCTGGCTCGGGTCAGACAGCAACTTCAAAATTGCAAAATATGCTCCATTAGCACCAACTTCTGTTTCCGCAAACAGGTTCTATGTGTGATGTTATTATGCCTTCTGCTTCAGGTTGTTTGCAGTTCGCACTGGAGATCACATACAAGTCATATATTGGGAAGTGTATGTCGTGCCAAAAAAAAAATTCTGATTTCACAAAAAAAATCGGGATTCGGTTACTTCAAGTTGCATTGCAAATTTTTTTGTCTTCATAATTCAACGCTTTGAAATTGCGCTTCTGTCTCTGAAAACTCAGGAGGTGATCACAACATTGCTCCTGTTTTAACCCCATAGTGTTTTCAACAGTGTTGCAATGAGATGTAGTTTGTATAATGAGCCCAGCAGGTTTCCAGTTCCATTGAGTGTTTGCTAATTGTTGCTAGTTTGAAGGAGCTGACTTGGGGAGTCATGGGGGTGCTCTGTGAGGCGGAAGCTACACCTAGAAAAGAGGAGGAGCTCTGCCGCCGTTCCCTAGACGTTTTGCAAAGCTGAATGGTCGCCATGGGAGATTTAAGGATTTCTCAAACATGCATGAACGAATCAGGTCAACAAACCAGGTACATGTTTGATGATGGAATGCAATTATAACAAGGTGGAAAGATCAAAAAAGTCAGAAAACATTAGGCTAGGGAAAAAGAGAAAAATTCATTCATGGTTCCAAAAACTATAAAAGCGACCTCTACAGGCATAATGAAGTATCATCACTTTTTGTGAAGGAAATTTGCAATCATCTGTTCCACACCTTCAAAACGATATACCGTATTGTCTGGACTATAAGTTGCTCCGGAGTATAAGTCGCATTTTTGAGGGACATTTATCTGATAAATCCAACGTCAAGAACAGACATGTCATCTTGAAAGGCAATAAAAATACATTTAAAAATACAGCAGGGCAACAACAAGCTGAATAAAGGTACGGTATGCTAATGTTACATGACAACGAACTGAGAACGTGCCTGGTTACATTCCTTCAGTTTTTCCAAAAAAGTAAAACACTTCAAACTTTAAACAGAATAAATAGCTCAATACAGACTTCTATTTTTTATCCATTAGCCATATTTCACAACAGCTTCATCCCTCATACCATAAGACTGCTAAACTCCCATTAATTTTGTATTTTATTGTTGTATTAAGTCCCTTTAATTTTAAAAAAGAGACTTAGTGTTTCGTAAACACATTTACCTTTACATATGAATGCTACATATACTATACTCATTCTTCTACTGTCAGAAATAGATTTTTTTTAATCTTATCTGAAAATGTTTCATTTTAAGGATGATGATTTGAAATCTTTCTCAAAAAAATGGTTTGTTATTGTTCTGTATAGTAGACAAAAATGCATCAGTAAACGTTCATGAAAAGAAAGAATTTTCACCAGCCACCATTGAAGTTTGTAAACTGAATTAACCCCATTGTGTTGTTCATGGACAACTTGGATTATGTATCTGTCCTTATAAAACATCACAAAACAGAAAATCCTGGAAATGTGCAGGCTTAATAGTCATCAAGAACTCTAAGATGAGTGTGTTTTTTAATAATTAAAATAATTTCTAACTTAAATATAAAAAAAATGGTTCACAACGTAAGTAGTAGAAACAAACAATAAATATTTTCAAATTTTTACTAGCTTGGTAAAACCAATAAGTGTATAAAACGATGCAGATGTCAAAGGCAGACGTCCTTCATCTGTAGTAGATGTCCCAACAGCTGGGTCCAGTTCCAACTGAGAAAGAAACACACATAAGACACCAAGGAGTAACTGTTTAATTACAGTTGCATTTTCATTGTGGTGGAAAAAAAAATAAGACAACAGGATCAAGAGCTATTTCTTCTTGCTTCAATATGAAAATCATATTTATACTTAATGATTCACACAGAAAATTACAAGAAGAAAAATGAACAAATTAAAACAGTTTAAACAAGATTGTTTGGTATTGTGATGGTCTGAGCTCAAAAACCAAATGAAATGGATACCTGAATGAAGAAGGATACTTAAAGACTTCGGAACTGAAATATCTCCAGGGTTTACTATCCTTCAGAGTCATCTGAGCTATAGTGTCAAAAGATAGAAAGTTTGTGTGAGAATTATTGGACAGTTCATTATTTAACTGATTTAATGCATTTGTAACTACCATTCCATGGAATTAAAGGTTAGTCATTGTAATGAAAATATTTTTGAACAGAAAAAATATACAAAAGTATTATAAACCAGTAAATTTAGACAAAATTAAGGCTACCTTTAACCAATTGTATATTAGCAAACACTTAGCCGCCTTGACGGAAGCAGTGATCATTGTCCAGTCTAAACTTTGTGTGTTGTCAAAAAAAAATCCTGAACATCTTTCAGCCAGGCTAAAAGTTTACGAAGCTATTTCTAAGGCTTTATGACTCCAGTGAAGTACACAACCACTTATCAATCCAGATGTTTGTTTTTTCTGGTTTTTACAATTTCCAATAAAATCCAAATTTCAATGTTTTGTCTTTTATTTATTTATTTTACTTTTTTTCAGGTATTTTTTTATTTTTATAAGTGATTTGATGATATTAAACATTTGTGCAAATAATAAGAAATCTGTCAATGGATTGTATTTAGTTTCAAGTAAAGAATCTCAAACATTATTACATAGTAGTTAATGTGCTTTTTTCTCCTTGGCAGTATGTTTTACTTTCACCCAGTTACACAGACATTAACAGCAAAATTTTAACCTGTCTCAGTGTTTTTACATTAGTCTGTTATTAAAAACCAACAAACACCATAAAACACTTGAAGATGAATGCTTGTACATTGTTTCAGGGATTTTCAGTTAATTTAACACTAAAATGGAATCAAAGTGTTCAACTTTACCGTGTATTTACATGTAAACATGCAGAAGTTGAAGGGAGAGAACATGAAATAGGGAAAAGGAGCAAGACGAAAAGCTTAAATGTTTATATACAGCTCTGGTAAAATGAGAGCTTGATCATATAAAATGATCAATCTCTCTGATTTTAGTTTTTTACATGTTTGAGTAAAATGAACATTGTTCTTTTATTTTATGAACTACTGACAACATTTCTCTGAAATTCCAAGCAAAAAGTTAGTATTTAGTTGCAGAAAATTAGATATGGTCAAAATAACAAAAATAAATAAATAAACAAAAAAAACACAAAACAAACAAACAAAATAATAATAATAATAATAATAATAAGAAGAAGAAGAAGAAGAAGAAAAAGAAAAAGAAGAAGAAGAAGAAGAAGAAGAAGAAGAAGAAATGCAGGTCTGAAGAAACGCATTCAGACCTCAAATAATGTCAAGAAATCAAGTTCATATTCATTTAGAAACAACAATACTTATGTTTTAACACAGAAAAACTTCATAAATCAATATTTGGTGGAATAATAATGAGGTTTTCAGTGGGGTTCAGTCCACTGGTTTCTTAATTTTTTTCAGGGCTGTACATAAAGATATCCAGTTATTTGTAAGTTTAAAATATAATATCTCACCATCGCCTCCAAACCCAAAAGATGCAGAAAAGAAGTGCAAGTGAACAGCCAACTGTGAAGGAAATGAAAGAAAATAGATTTTTGATAATTTTGCATTTCAGTCACAGAAAATGATAATATTCATTTCTAAGAGGCACTTTCATTCATGTTACCTGCCACGCCTATCAACAGTAGGTTTAAAGGAGGTTCAATTTCTGCAAAGATAAAATAATATTAAAACCAAACCCAAGAGATTTGCTCTTTAGATAAGAGCAAAACTAAAGATGTTGCTCTTTTCTTTAGATCTCAAAATACTCTGGTCTGCAAGTACAAAACAGTGTAGAAAATGGATTTACAAAATGACAGCAAAGATCCAATTAAGTATTTATAAGGAAAAAATCAACATAGTTAAATATGCACAATTCTTCGGAAAACTAATGAAAAATCCTTATAACTTACAATTACAAACATGCCACGTTACTTGTGTGATTCTTTCGTAATGCAGTGACTCACCAAGGTCGTCTCCAGAGCAGTGATCAATGTAGAAGTTTTCAACTTCTGCATTGTCTGAGAAATCTATAATTTATTTACTGCTGAGGTACACAGAAAACTCACATGATTGTGATAAAACAAAAATAAAAAAAAAAAACTGGTGGAGTGACAAATTTTAGATTAACATTTTGCTTTCCAACTTCATTTACTTCATTTCACCTGCCACAGCTATCGACAATGGGTTTAAAAGAGATGTTTTTTCTGCAATATTAAAATAATATTAAAACCAAACCCAGATTTTACTCTTGTCTGCAAGTACAAAACAGTGTAGAAAATGGATTTACAAAATGACAGCAAAGATCCAGTTAAGTATTTATAAGGAAAAAATCAACATAGTTCAATATGCACAATTCTTTGGAAAACTAATGAAAAATGGCTCCTGCTTAGGCCAAGACACATCCACTTATGATTCTCCAAACATGCCATGTTACTTCTGCGATTATTTCGTAATGCAGTGACTCATCAAGGTCGTCTCCAGACCGGTGATCAATGTAGAAGTTTTCAACTTCTACATTTCAACTTCTACATCTATAATTTATTTACTGCTGAGGTACACAGAAAATTCACTTGTGATACAAAAAAAAAAAAGAAAAAGAACTGGTGGAGTGACAAATTTTAGATTAAAAATTTGCTTTCCAACTTTGTTTAAAAATACATTTAAAAATTTTTTTTAGAAGAAAACTTTTGATACTTTTTAATAAGGTGGATGCTGATGCACTGGTTGTAGTAATAGTTTAATCCGATGATATTTTGTAGACTTTAAATGACAAAGTCAGCATAAGTCTTGTTTATTTCCTAATTTGGATAAAATACGTTTCCTCAAAATACCCCAAAACTCCCTAGTGAGGCTGCTACCCCCACGACCCGACTCAATATATAGATGTGGTCAGGAAATCTTTAAAGGGGACAATTTATTTTTTGTTGAACTTTATGTAAATATATATTGTCCTCCAGTGAATGTGACACAAAGTAAAAAATGTAAATCTATGCAAAAATATTCTTCTTATATATTCTATAAGTTGTTTTGTTGCAGGAGTGAATGAAATACTTTTGTTGTAATTTTGCCTTCTTTGGTCTATTCTGTCACAAAGGATTCAGCTGCATTTTGACATATTCTAATATGCAATGTGAAGCTAATTTTAATTTGGCATGAACAACACACTTTATCTATAACTGTCATTCATCCACCATCCATTTGTTTTTAGGTTTAGTTCTTAGTAATTACCTATCTTGAAACCTTTTATGAAAAACTTATCTCCTCTAAAATATGTTAGCAAGGCACATTTTGACAAATGATTAACAGGTTAGGGTAAAATAACTTTCATATTCAAGGACTCACTCTTGCAGATTAGATCTGGCTCAGTCCAAGTCCATCAATGCAGGTTATGATCTCAGAGCCACTTTCTTTTTCAAATCCATTGGCGCACTCATAGGTGACTTTGGTACCATCTGGGAAATCCTCTCTTAGGAGGGATTCATTCGTGAGAACCATGTTCTCCACACTTTTAGGTATGGGGCAATTACCTAGGAAAAAATATAAATCTTGCATGAGCCTTGTAATTGATCAGCATTTCATCTGCCATTACCCAACATTGATGCTGCAGCCTACTAACAAGACCACCAAGGCCCCATGAAGACTTATATAGTAATCGCAGATTTTCAATGTTATTAATTTTGTTCAACTAAAAAACTTGAGATCATGTTGTCAACCATTTCCTTCCCTTTGTGATCACTCCTCTACTTTCAGTTCTCTATAAAGCTAGGATTATTGTTGACAATTTGAACCTGCTTGGGGACCTACAAATATTTGTGGGGATTGCTCTGCATGCACCATCTTTCACTCAAATTGTATGGTTGCATTTCAACTCATTGTATGATTATAGAGCAGGTTGATCTTTACCAGCATTTCTATGAACCCTCTCTGAGGATTCATTTCTGAAGAATCAGGGATGGATTTTTTATTTTTTTTAACTGGCCACATGGGCTAGTAAAGAAAACTTTTTATTGTCGACACAAACATTTCACAAGCCACTGTTTTCTTACCACATTCCATGCTAAGTGGCTCTCATTGTGCTTATTGGGAAATTAAAAGCTTCAGAAATAGCTTGACAAATTTTTCCAGATTGATAAATATCAGAGATGTTGTCATCTCATCATAAAATAACTTAGAACAATTCATAATATGTTGCTTTTTTAGTTCTTCATAGACATGTTGTCTGGGAGTCTCAAAGTATATTTGATGTTTCTTATTAGTTCGGTGTGAAATCTACAAAAGGCTGGAAATACAGTGTATATTATTATCCTCTAATGAATGTGTCACAAAGTATAATATAAACACAATAATAAATTATGATGAGATCTGTGCTTTATTGTACATACATTGATTTGTGGTTGAGCTTTGTAGTTGACTTTCATATATAAAACCACAACTCCCAGGACTATTATATTACTGAGGCACATTATTGAAAATATTGTAACAAGACATTTTAATATATCTTCTTTTACAATTTCACTGCAAGAACAAGAGTAAGTTTGTTTCATTTACGGAAGAATATGTAGGTAAAGGCCCATCTGGGAACGTGCATTATGAACGAGCTAGGGCTGTAAATATTATATCACTCATAATTTGTTTATTCTTAACACTTATTCCCATTCAAATATACAGTAAAGACAGAATTTGAATTTCAACTCATGCTATGGTTTGCTTTTTTGATCATGTTAGAATTCTGATGACACTTGTTCAAAAACCTGTAAAATTAATAACAATTAACCATTAGCCATGTTGCAGTAAGGGTTTCATCTCAGGATGGATTATTGTTAGTTTTATACAGTGGTGAAATGATAGGTTGGACAATGAGCTAATTTACAAGTAGTGGAGAGAAGATTTGTGTTATTCACAAATGTGTTTGCAAGCTGTTTGTATTTTGTCTCAGATAACTGATCTTCTATATGAAGCTTGAAAATAAGCACAAGAACTTACGGACACATCGTGGTGGCTCAGAATCATATTCAGCACTTTCAGTACACGTAATGGTTTCATTCCCAAACAAGGTGTATCCTGCGTCACATGTGAAATGTATAGTTTGTTCATATTTTGGTTCACGGTCACTATTCCAAGAATGTTCGCCATTTTCCACTTTGATCGGTTTGGAACAAGTAAGAGCTGGAAAAATTGGCAAAAGAAAAAAAATTGCTTTTTCAATCAAAGTCAAAGTTTATTTTTATTGCTCATTTTTAACAGCCTCAGCAGAACAAAGTGCTTCACAATAAAAACAACATCGCAGGCAGATAAAAAAATCAAATGAAATTACATTTAGCAAAAATAATAATAAAATTAGCAAAACTTCAAATGAATGAAAACCAAAACAGTACATAATTTTAGATGAAGCAATTTACCTCCATCCTTCCATTTCAGGCACAAAGTGCTTCAGTAAACTGTGTTGAGAAGCGAGAGAATATTTCAAACTGATCAACACTTACAGATACAGTCTGCGATTCCAAACCATCCTTCGTCCATGCACTGTTTGAAGCTCGCTCCACTGACCCGGTAGCTGCATAAAGACAAAGGAAGTTATAAAGACTGATGCAATCTGTTGAGCCATGAATAAAAAAGTTTAGTTTGCTAGTCAGATTTAATAAATTAAGATTATGGTAAATTTTCGATTTACTCTTTTGGAGTCATAGTTTGCTGACAGGATCCAAACGCCTCGTCTTTTCAGGAGGATGTAGGCTATATTTCTTCCCAAACCAACACTGGCTATATAAATTTTATAAAAGAGTAAGTTTTCTGTTTTAAAGAATAATTGTACAGCACATACACACACCTACTTATAGCATGTTGCTCAATGTCATAAAGGGGAGGAAAAAACTAATAAAAAAACACTTCTGCAGTTGACAAAGCAGGGTTTCCACCAGAAAACATCAGAGCCCAGTGGTAGGGGCACCCAGGCGGTCCATCGTGTTTTTGTATCAGAGGATGTTAAGCTGACAGAAAATTTAAAAATATGAAATGTTACAGGAAGATATCACCAGTGAAATGCTATTTACACCAACAGCAATAGTCTTACAAGCAACAAATCAAAAAAATACAATTAAACTGAGTAAAAGTAAAGCCTGGCAGGCCGCACAGGTTATAATACACTGGGGGAAACGCTGCAAAATAATAAAGGATTACCCAAAAGTGCTAATTAATAACACAACATAAGAAAATTTGAGGTAATATCAATGTTTTAACAAGTTTTCAGCCAAAAAAAAGAGCACAAGATTCCTTTGATTTGATCAGCATTATATGAAAATAGGGTAGACAACATAAATAAGTTGCTTTTCTCATGCAGCAGTTAGATGGAAGGAGAGTGAAAAACCTCTCAGTGGTGGCTGTGGCAGCATCAATCAATACAAGAAAAGAGTTACTATACGATTATTGATGTGTGGATCGGAATTTTCTGAAATAAAATACTGTAGTCGAAATAATAACAACACATGAAACATAAGTTTTTAAATATTATTGTATTAATATTGATAGACTTACATGGACTATAAATAATTACAAACTAACCTCAGCTCTTATAACAAGAAATTATATAACAACTGGTAGAATGGCACTGGAGATAAAATAATAGTTCCTCAGCTGAGTTCACCTACCTTTAGCACCCTTGAGAAACAGTGAAGTTACCACTCTTACACAAGGTATGCTCCATTAAGTGTGAAGAAAGTAGTCATTTTTATGTCTTAAATATTAGGAATGTAACTCAGTTGATTAACTCAGAGTTATTTTTACTGAACATTCACATATAAAAACAACTGAATTGAAATCATGAAGCAAGAAATTTGTATAAAACGCTGCTGTGAAGAAATGTATAAACAGCTCATTACTCAGTTCAACTCCATCAATTTTCTATTTAATCTCAAATTTTACTAATCCACACAAATATTTCACCAGCCACTTTTTCTCCCTGTGTGCAACATCATCGCTGAGCTATTTCAGAGAACCTACATCACATTCCATTTTTTCTACATTGGATGTAAGTGTCTCTCATGGAGTATTACAGTTTAAAAGCCTCAGAAATAGTTTAAAATGACTTAAATCAGGTCATAATGTGTTGGTTATTTAAAATCTTTATAGCAATGTTGTAAGGGAGTTTTCACACATTGTTGCTGATATATTGGCCCATTCTTCCATGCATATCTCCTCTAGAGCAGGAATGTTTTGGGGCTCTCGCTGGGCAACACAGACTTTCAACTCCCTTCAATGGTTTGCTATGAGGTTGAGATCTGCAGATAGAAATGCTTCTTACGAAGCTACCCCTTTGTTTCCCTGGCCATGTGTTTGGGATCATTGTCATGCTGAAAGATAAGCCTATGTTTCATCTTCAATGCCCTTGTTGATGGAAGAAGTTTTGCAAACAAAATCTCATGATACAGGGTCCCATTCATTCTTTCATATACAAAGATCAGTCATCCTTGTCCAGTTGCAGAGAAACAGCTTCAAAGCATGATGTTGCCATCCCCATGCTTCACAGCAGGTATAGTGTTCTTTGGATGCAACTCAGCATTCACTCTCCTCCAAACACAACTCAAGTTTATACCAAACTGTTCTACTTTGGTTTCATCTGACCATGTGAAATTCTCCCGATGCTGTTGTGGAACATCCAAATGCTCTCTAGTAATCTCCAGATGGGCCAGGATGGGCCAGGATATGTACTTTCTTAAGCAGGGGAACGTTTGACTCTGCAGGATCTGAGTACCTGGTGGTCTAGTGTGTTACTGAGAGTAGCCTTTGTTGCGTTAGACCCAACCTTCTGCAGGTCATTCTGCCCCCCCCCCCTCCATTTTCTTTGGGGTGACTGTAAATCTGGAGGTAGAGCAGTCATCTGTGATAGGAAGGTGGAAGGTTAAAGTCCAGCATCCCCTGCCACATGTTGGTGTGCTCCTGGGCAAGGCACATAACTGACAAATTGCTTTCCAGTCTGTGTATCGGTTTACAAATGTGTGAGCATTTATGAATGCAAATGGGTGAATGTAACTCTAATGTAAAGCGCTTTAAGTGGTCAAAATGATTGGAAAAGCTGTATATGTTCAGCCCATTTACCATTTTCCATCTGGAATTTTTGATGCATGGAGTGAGATCCTTCTTGGATCCCTAATCAAGCGGTATTATCAGTAGTCTTGAATGTCTTCCATTTTCTCATTACTGCTCCCACAGAACAATACAAGCACAATAACAAACAAAAATAATGCTGGATATGTATTTTTTTTAAGAGAGTTTCATAGGGGCTGCACAGTGGAGCAGTTGGTAGCAATGTTGCCTTGTAGCAAGAAGGTCCTGGGTTCAATTATCAGCACGGCGTCTTTCTGCATGGAGTTTGCATTTTTTCAATGTACATGCATGGGTTCTCACCGGGTTCTACGGCTTCCTCCCACAGACCAAAAACAAGACTTTCAGGTAAACTGGTCTCTCTAAATTCTCACTAGCTGTGTGTGTGTGCATGGTTGTTTATGTTGTGTGAAGAAGAAAGTCACACTCGTGTCTTCTTTTAAGTTTTTCATGTTATTTTCTTCAGTAGATCTTGATGCAACTGCCACACCACCAAAGGCGAGTAGGTGACAAGGATTTTTCAATTACTTTGGATTATTTAATACCATGCAGTGTGAAAGTGAACCATACCAGCTAAAATGTAACAAATGTTGTAATTTCATTCTTCAGTCCCCAATTGAACTGAGTCGACTGGACTATCACATGTGAAAAGACCCTTAATTGAGTTAATGCAAGTCAAAGCATACACTTAATTTTCTGAGATAACACAATGACATTTTAGCAGATAATAATGGAATTTGAATTCTTGGAATCATACATACCCTTCTTCACAGATTACTGTAGCCACTGCACCAATTATAGTACCGTGGCTGGTATCAAATGACATGTGCGGTTTTGCTTCTGGGACACCACAGTCTGACCCTTTGATATAAAGAAACAACAAAAACAAAACAAATAACCAAAAATTATTATTGTAGGATTACATAAACCCTAGATGACCATGAAAGGCATGATGGATGACTGTTTGTTAGATGTAAAATGCAAGTTAAACAAGACTCACGCTTGCAGATGATATCTGACTTGGTCCACTTGCCATTGACACATCTAATGATTCCAGTGCCACCTATTTGATCACACCCCTTCATGCATTCATATTTGATCACAGTACCACTTGGAAAAATCCTTTTTCGGAGGGACTCAGCAGAGAGAACTGTGTTCTGTACATGTTGAGGTTTGGAACAGTCAGCTAGGAGGAAATAAAAATGAAGAAAAATCACACACAAACACATACACACATAAAAGCAAAGCTATTATGTATGTATGTGTTTGTGTGTGATTTTATGTGTGATATCTTATACACACATAAAAGCTTTGCTTTTATGTGTGTATAAAAAAGCTTGCAGATAACACAAATCGTAAGTATCTCTTTTATGGAAAAATATGTTGTGAATGGCCCATCTGGGAACATGGATTGCAAACCAGCTAAAGCTATAAATGTTACAGTGTTCATAATTTGTTTATACTTAACACTTGTCCCCATTCAAAAAAAACAATACAGAAAAAAACCATATTTTACTTTTTTGATCATGTTAGAAATTTAATGATATTTGACAAAAACCTATGAGATAAATTAAAAATAACTGTTAGTCATGATGTTGTTAGGTTTCCATCACAGGATGTATCATTGTCAGTTTTATACTGTGGTGAAATGATAGACTGGACAATCATTTAATTTGCAAGTAGTGGAAAGACGACTTGTGTTATTTGGAAGCTTTTTGTATCTTATCTCAGCTATCTTATATTATGAAGCCTGCATAAAAGCACAAGAACTTACTGACACATCGTGGTGGCTGAGAATCATATCCACCAGTTTCAGTACACCTAATGGTTTCATTCCCAAACAAGGTGTATCCTGTGTTACATGTGAAACGTATAGTTTGTCGATATTCTGGTTCACGGATATTATTCCAAGAATGTCTGCCATTTTCCACTCTGGTCGGTTTGGGACAAGTAACAACTGCAAAAATTGGCAAAAGAAAAATAAAATTGCTGTTTCAAGTACAAAATACTTTAGTTGAAAAAAGGAGAGAAGAATTTAAACTGATCAACATTTACCTTCACAATTTGCAGTCTGTTTGTTAGATGTAAAATGCAAGTTAAACAAGACTCACGCTTGCAGATGATATCTGGCTTGGTCCACTTCCCATTGACACATCTAATGATCCCACTGCCACTTATTTTATTATATCCAATTATGCACTGATATTTGATCACAGTACCACTTGGAAAAATCCTTTTTAGGAGGGACTCAGCAGAGAGAACTGTGTTCTCTACATGTTGAGGATTGGAACAGTCAGCTAGGAGAAAAAAAATGAAGAAAAATCACACACAAATTCACACACATAAAAGCAAAGTTGTTGTTGTGGCATTTGGTTATTTAAAAACGTATTCTAAAAAATATGTTTAAAAAACAAATTAGTTGAAGCTTATATTTAAACACAAAAAAGTGTCAAATGTTTGGACATGATGTTTGCGCATGTGCATAATTTCTGTATGTAAACAATAGCATGCAAGGTGTCTGTATTTATAAGTCTGATTAAGTCAATGCCTCACAAGCTATGAACCTAACTGGACGTCCTGGGAATCAGGGAAGGAAATTTAGCATGTTCTCCATTGCTCACAGTGGCTGGTGAATAAAACATTTCATCGACTTTTTCACCAGCCACTTTTTTTTTGTCTTTGTATTGTCATCCGTTCTTAAAATTACTTTGATCATGTTGCAATGTGTTGCTTTTTTTTTTTTTAGATATTTATAGCCAAATTGTCAGGGAGTTTTAACATATATTTAATGCTCATTATCAGAAGGCGGGAAAATAATTATCATACAACTTAATATAAATATACATTTTACTTCAGTGATTTTGTCACAAAGTACAAAATAAGCTAAATATAATCAATTTTTGGATTATGCTTGAATTGTATACACTTTCAATTGTGGTTGGGATTTTTAACTCTATTATATAAACAACCACGAACCACGGGATATTTTTTTGGGTACGGGGGATTCCGGCACATCAATGAAAATATTGCAACAAAAGATTCTAACTTTTCCTCTTTTACAATTTCACTGCAAGAACAAAATTAAGTGTCTCTTTTATGGAAAAATATGTGGTGAATGGCCCATCTGGGAACATGCATTGCAAACCAGTTAAAGCTATAAATGTTATAGTGTTCATAATTTGTTTATACTTAACACTTGTCCCCATTCAAAAAAACAATAAATGGTAAAATGGACTGAATTTATATAGCACTTTTCCAGTCATTTTGACCAATCAAAGCACTTTATACTAGTCACATTCACCCATTCACACACACACCGGTAGGCATTTTGGAGTTAAGTGCCTTGCCCAGAGGAACATCTACATATGGCAGGAGGAAGCTGGAATCGAACCTACAACCTTCCGATTGGAAAACGACAACTCTGCCACACAGCCACAGTCACCCCAAAAAGAACAAAAGCATCTTTTACTTTTTTGATCATGTTAGAAATTTAATGACACTTGACAAAAACCTATGAGATAAATTAAAAAATAACCGTTAATCATGATGTTAGGTTTCCATCTCAGGATGGATCTTTGTCAGTTTTATACTGTGGTGAAATGATAGGCTGGACAATGAGCTAATTTACAAGTAGTGGAAAGACGATTTGTGTTATTTGGAAGCTTTTTGTATCTTGTCTCAGCTAACTGATCTTCTATGAAGCCTGAATAAAAAGCACAAGAACTTACGGACACATCGTGGTGGCTGAGAATCATATACACCAGTTACAGTACACCTAATGGTTTCATTCCCAAACAAGGTGTATCCTGTGTTACATGTGAAACGTATAATTTGTCGATATTCTGGTTCAAGATCATTATTCCAAGAATGTCTGCCATTTTCCACTCTGGTCGGTTTGGGACAAGTGACAACTGCAAAAATTGGCAAAAGAAAAATAAAATTGCTGTTTCAAGTACAAAATACTTTAGTTGAAAAAAAAAGAGAAGAATTTAAACTGAACAACATTTACCTTCACAATTTGCAGTTCCAAACCATCCTGTGTCAAGACAATGTTTGAAACGCGATCCATTGAGCCGGAAACTGCATAAAATCAAAAGAATTCATAAAGACTGTTAGTATCTATTTGACAATAAGAAGAGTTCAGCTGATGAATAACATTTAATAATTAAAGATAATGCTACTAATTTTATATTTTCTATTTACTCTTTCACACAGTCATAGTTTGCTGATGGAATGCAAAAACCCAACCTTTAAGGAGATAGCAGGCTATATTCCTTCTCAAAATAGCGATGGCTATATCATCTTTTTTATGAAAGAAAAACTTTTGTTTTGCTTTAAAGTAAAATTGCAGAATAGATGCACATCTCTCCATGCTGCCTTTGTTGCACCATTTTACATAGATAGAAAGAATCATGATAGTTCTGTTAATTTGCTTCTCTCATGCAGCATTGTAATGGAGTGAGACATAAACATAACACATGTTGCTCAATGTCATAAAGTGAAGGAAAAAAGCTAATTATTAAACCAAAACAATAATAAACTGGCAAATAAAGAATACATTTTGATAGATAACTGAAAAATAAAATGATTAAAGGCAGGTTTCTAGTTTTTGCCATTAGTTTAACAGCCATTACGAAATACATAACTGACTCAAGAAAAGTTATGTCTAACTTCTCATAAATCAAAAAAACAAAAAAACTTTCTTCTGCAGTTCACAAAAGATTAAAGGGCTACCTATAAGAGCTAATTAATAACACATAATAGAACAATTTGGTTAAATATCTGCATTTAACAGTGTGTTTCAGACAAAATGTCAACATAGGCTTCTATCTTCTGCCATTAGGTCATTGTTCAGACTAAAAATATGTTTGCATCAGCTTTACATGAAGACTGGGAGGAAGGAACAAAGCATGCTCCTAAGTTGCTTTTTTCATGCAGCAGACAGATGGAAGGTTAGGAGAGTGAAAAAGACCCTCGTAGTGGATGTGGCACTATCAATTAATCCAAGAAAAGAGTTACTAATTGATTACTGATATATGGATTGCAATTTTCTTAAATAAATAATACCACCATTAACCCATCCATCCATCCATTTTTTTTCTTACACCCTTATCCCATTGGGGTCGGGAAGGGTACTGGTGCCTATCTCCAGTTGTCACAACAATCAATCAAATATGACAAAAAAAGTTGTTTTCTCGGTGTATGCAACATATTCCCATCATTCTGCAGGTTATTCTGCCCCCCCCTCCGTTTTGTTCGGGGTGAATCTGGAGGTAGAGCAGTCATCTTGTGATTGGAAGGTGGTAGGTTTAATTCCAGCTTCCTCTTGCCACATGTTGGTGTGCTCCTGGGCAAGGCACATAACTAACAAATTGCTTTCCAGTCTGTGTATCGGTTTACAAATGTGTGAGCATTTATGAATGCAAATGGGTGAATGTAACTCTAATGTAAAGCGCTTTAAGTGGTCAAATGATTGGAAATCTGTATATGTTCAGTCCATTTACCATTTTCCATCTGGAATTTTTGATGCATGGAGTGAGATCCTTCTTGGATCCCTAATCAAGCGGTATTATCAATAATCTTGAATGTCTTCCATTTTCTCATTACTGCTCCCACACAACAATACAAGCACAATAACAAACAAAAATAATGCTAGATATGTAAATTTTTTTTAAAGAGAGTTTCATAGGGGCTGCACAGTGGAGCAGTTGGTAGCAATGTTGACTTGCAGCAAGAAGGTCCTGGGTTCAATTCCCAGCTCAGCGTCTTTCTGCATGGAGTTTGCATTTTCTCAATGTACATGCATGGGTTCTCACCGGGTTCTACGGCTTCCTCCCACAGACCAAAAACAAGACTTTTAGGTAAATTGGTATCTCTAAATTCTCCCTAGCTGTGTGTGTGTGCATGGTTGTTTATGTTGTGTGAAGAAGAAAGTCACACTTGTGTCTTCTTTTAAGCTTTTCTTGTTATTTTCTTCAGTAGATCTTGATGGAACTGCCACACCACCAAAGGCGAGTAGGTGAGAAGGATTTTTCAATTACTTTAGATTGTTTAACACCTTGCAGTGTGAAAGTGAACCATACCAGCTAAAATGTAACAAATGTTGTAATTTCAGTCTTCAGTCCCCAATTGAACTGAGTCAACTGGACTATCAGGTGTGAAAACACCCTTAGTGGAGTTAATGCAAGTCAAAGCATACACTTAATTTTCTGAGATAACACAATGACATTTAAGCAGATAATAATGGAATTTAAATACTTGGAATCATACATACCCTTCTTTACAGGTTACTGTAACCACCGCACCAAATAGAGTACCCTGGCTGGTATCAAATACCATGTGCGGTTGTGCTGCTGGGAAACCACAGTCTTTGATATAAAGAAACAACAAAAACAAGCAAAAAAAAAAAAAAGTAGACATTATTGTAGGATTACAAAGAGCCAAGATGACCATGAAAGGCATGATGGATGACTGTTTGTTAGATGTAAAATGCTAGTTAAACAAGACGCACTCTTGCAGATGATATCTGGCTTGGTCCACTTCCCATTGACACATCTAATGATCCCACTGCCACTTATTTTATTATATCCAATTATGCACTGATATTTGATCACAGTACCACTTGGAAAAATCCTTTTTCGGAGGGTCTCAGCAGAGAGAACTGTGTTCTGTACATGTTGAGGTTTGGAACAGTCAGCTAGGAGAAAATAAAAATAAAGAAAAATCACACACAAACACACACATAAAAGCATTTGGTAATTTAAAAATTATTCTAAAAAATATGTTTGAGAAACTAATTAGTTGAAGCTTATGTTTGAACACAAAAAAGTGTCAAATGTTTCTGTATGTAAACAATGGCATGCAAGGTGTCTGTATTTATAAATCTGATTAAGTCAGTGCTTCACCAGCTATGAACCTAACTGGACGTCCTGGGAATCAGGGAAGGAAATTTAGCATGTTCTCCATTGCTCACAGTGGCTGGTGAAGAAAACATTTCATTGACTTTTTCACCAGCCACTTTTTTTTTGTATTTGTATTGTCATCCGTTCTTAAAATTACTTTGATCATGTTACAATGTGTTGCTTTTTTAGAAAGAGGGGGCAATAATTTTCATAGAATTTAATATAAATATACATTTAACTTCAGTAATTTTGTCACAAATTACAATATAAGCAGAATAATAATAAATTTTTGGATTATGCTTGTATTGTATACACTTTAAATTGTGGTTGGGATTTTTAGCTCTATTCTATAAACAACCACAAACCACAGTATCTTTTATTTGGGGGGGCAGGGGGGGGGGATTTTGGCACATCATTGAAAATATTGCAACAAAAGATTCTAACTTTTCCTCTTTTACAATTTCACTGCAAGAACAAAATTAAGTGTCTCTTTTATGGAAAAATATGTTGTGAAAGGCCCATCTGGGAATGTGCATTGCAAACCAGCTAAAGCTATAAATGTTATCGTGTTCATAGTTTGTTTATACTGAACACTAATAAAGAACAAAAACATCTTCTACTTTTTTTGATCACGTTAGAAATTAAAAAATTACTGTTGGTCATGATGTTAAGTTTCCATCTCAGGATGGATCATTGTCAGTTTTGTACAGTGGAGAAATGATAGGCTAGACAATCAGTTAATTTACAAGTAGTGGAAAGACGATTTGTGTTATTTGCAAGCTTTTTGTATCTTGTCTCAGCTAACTGATCTTCTATGAAGCCTGAAAAAAAGCACAAGAACTTACGGACACATCGTGGTGGCTGAGAATCATATCCACCAGTTTCAGTACACCTAATGATTTCATTCCCAAACAAGGTGTATCCTGTGTTACATGTGAAACGTATAGTTTGTCGATATTCTGGTTTACGGACATTATTCCAAGAATGTCTGCCATTTTCCACTCTGGTCGGTTTGGGACAAGTAACAACTGCAAAATTTGGAAAAAGAAAAAGAAAATAGCCGTTTAAAGTACAAAATACTTTAATTGAGAAAAAAAAGAGAACAATTTAAACTGAACAGAGCTAAAAATAACTGTTAGCCATGATGTTGTTAGGTTTCCATCACAGGATGGATCATTGTCAGTTTTATACAGTAGTGAAATGATAGGCTGGACAATGAGCTAATTTACAAGTAGTGGAAAGACGATTTGTGTTATTTGCAAGCTGTTTGTATCTTTTCTCAGGTAACTGATCTTCTGTGAAGCCTGAATAAAAGCACAAGAACTTACGGACACATGGTTGCTGAGAATCATATTCACCAGTTTCAGTACACCTAATGGTTTCATTCCCAACCAAGTTGTATCCTGTGTTACATGTGAATCTTATAGTTTGTCGATATTCTGGTTCACGGTTACTAGTCCAAGTATGTGTGCCATTTCCTATACTCGGTATGGAACAAGTAACATCTGGAAAAATTGGCAAAAGAAAAAGAAAGTTGCTGTTACAGGCACAAAATACTTCAGCTGAAAAAAAAAGAGAGAATAATTTATACTGAACAATACTTACATACACAAATTCCAATTCCAGACCATCCTGCGTGGGAGCAATGTTTTATGCTCGATCCATAGATCTTGTAACTGCATAAAGTCAAAAGAAGTAATAAAGACTAATAGAATCTGTTTGACCATAAGAAAAGTTCAGCTGGTGAATAATATTTAATAATTAAAGATTATACGTCTAATTTTACATTTTCTATTTACTTTTTCACACAGAATCAGTTTTCTGATGGGATACAAAAAAAACCTTCTCTTCTCAAAATAGAGAAGGTTTCTGCTTAGCGATGGCTATATAATCTTTTTTATGAAAGAGAAACTTTTGTTTTCTTTAACGTAAAATTGCACAACATGGATGCACATCTTTCCGTGCTGCTGATGTTGCATCCTTGAACATAGAGAGCAAGAATCAGGATAGTTCTGTTAACTTGCTTCTCTCATGCAGCATTGTAATGGAGTGAGACATAAACATAACACATGTTGTTCACTGTCAAAGTGGAGGTAAAAAGCTAATTACATAAGCAAAGTAATAATAAACTGGCAAATAAAGAATACATTTTTATATTTCTGCAAAATAAAATAACTAAAGGCAAGTTTCTAGTTTCTGCCATTAGATTAACATTACAAAATACATAACTGACTCACAGAAAGATTATGTCTAACAACATAAAACAAACAAACAAACAAAAAACAACCCTCTTCTGCAGTTCACAAAAGAATAAAGGATTACCTATAAGAGCTAATTAATAACACAACATAATACAATTTGGTTAAATATCTGCATTTTAACAGTTTGTTGCAGACAAAATGTCAGCGTAGGCTTCTTTCTTCTACCATTGGGTTATTTTTCAGACTACAAATATGTTTGCATTAGCTTTACAAAAAGACTGGGAGGAAGGAACAAAGCATGCTCCTAAGTTGCTTTGTTTCATGCAGCAGATAGATGGAAGGTTAGGAGAGTGAAAAAGCCCCACGTAGTGGATGTGTCACTATCAATTAATCCAATAAAATATTTACTAATTGATTACTAATTTGTGGATTGCAATTTTCTTAAATTAAATAAGAAAATTATTTGTCCATCCATTTTCTTTCTTACACCCTTATCCCATCGGGGTCGGGATTGGTGCTGGTGCCTATCTCCAGCTGTCACGACTAATCAATTATGAAAAATATGTTTTTAACAAAGTTTGTATTATAGGTAATATTAACAGACTTATTTGAAATATCAACATTGACTGTAAACCTTTTTAATGTAAACTCTTCTAATACTAAATCACATAACAACTGCATAAAATATGTGCAAATTGCACTGGAGATAGAATAATAGTCCTTCAACCTATTCCACCTGTCTTTAGCAACCATTGCAAAAAGGTCATTCATACTCCCTCATCAGGTATGTTTTACTCACGGTGAAAAAAGTAGTCATTTTTATTAATATATTAAATATTTGAATTTTAAATCAGGTGATTAGCTCAGATTTTCTTTACTGAATATTCACACATTAAAAAAAAGCACTGAATTGAACTCATAACGCAAGAAATTTCTATAAAACTTAGATCTGAAAATATATATATATAAACAACTCCATAAACCTTATAAAACTCAATTCAACTCAGTTAATGTTACATTTTATTTTGACATATATTTGTACAAATTTTACTGGCTCTAATGTTTGTATTTTTAAATGTGTGGATATATCTATATGAAATTTAATTGCTGCATATTACATAAATACTGGTATTGCAGCAATGAACATGTTAGTGTCCCTCATGATTTCGGGCACATTCATACCTAACACATTTGGTCTGGTTTGAACAGATCAAAGTTTGTTTCCCCTGTTGGTCCAGACCTTTTATGGAGCTGTGAATACAGTCATGCAAATCCTGGTGTGAACCAAACAACCAGACTGAGACTAATTTTTTAGGTGATCTCTTGACTTGCAGTAAATTGGCCTCAAAATCTTAGTCTCAGGTGATTAAAGTGAAATCTGGAACAATTTTTTTTAGGTTCTCCACTTTCAAACAAAATCTCATACAGTTCGCCTTGGTGCAAACCAAATACATGAAATATCCATCTTTTTAGACTACACCATTCCTTGTTGGTCAGTATTATGGTAAAAATGAACACATCAGAGTTGCCTGCACTTCCATATGTGGTGATTTTAATGAACTTGTACCTGTTCTCCTGTTTTCTGCTTAGCAATGCTGTTGCCATTTTGTGTTGGGTCAGCACAGGTGGAACAAACACATTTGCAAACTGTGTTTCAAAATTAGAAATATTCCATTGCTATTCTTGTGTAAATTAACTGCTGTTGATGTTCAAAATTATATTGAATTATTTAAATAGGGGAAGTGTGAATGCACATCCAGACACACCAAGAAAGCAAACTCTGAGCTGCCTCAAAATCTAGGTCTCAGTTTCAAGAGGATTAGTGATCATTAAAAAAGCAAGAAGGGAACCATGGCGCAAGGCACAATTGGTAAATATAACCAACACAAAAGGAAGAAATGGCTCATGGTCTATTTCTACAAACAAAAGAGAAATCTTAGAAGTGGATTTTGTTTACATTTTGTGAAGAAGAAAGATGCACTCATGTCTTCTCAGCTTTTCATGTTATTTGTTCAGTAGATCTGCAAACCACCACAGGCAATGGGGTGAACAGGTTTTTCAATTACTTTGAATTGTTTAAAAAAGTACAGTATGAAAGCGAACCACACCATCTAAAATGGAACAAATGTTTGCAATTTTGGCCCTCAGTTGAACTGAGCCCAGCAGACTGACGGACATGAAAAGATTGTTTCGAGTTCTTGCAAGTCAAGACATACACTTGATTTTCTGAGACAAAACAATGACATTGAAGCAGATAAACTAATTTAAATATTTGGAGTCATACATACCCTTTTTCACAAGACATATAAACCGATGCACCAAGTAGAGTCCCCTGGCTGGTGTTAAATATCATGTGTGGCTGTGGTATAACGGGACCACAGTCTGTCGCTTTAATATAAAAATACAACAAAAATAAAAATACAAAAGAACAACAGGCATCAGTGTGATATTATCTTGATCCAAGATGACAATGTAAAGCATGTTAGATAACTGTTTTTGTCAGATGTAAATTGCAAGTTAGACAGGACTCACGCCTGCAGGTGATGTCTGGCTTGGTCCACTTCCCATTGACGCAGGTCATCTCCCCAGTGCCATTTACTCGAATATATCCAAGTTTGCACTTATAATAGATTACAGTACCATCAGGGAATTCTTTTATTTTAAGAGATTCCGTTGTGAGCTCTATGTATTTTCCATTTGTAGGATTTTGACAATCAGCTAGGAGAAAAGAAAAATGACACAAAGACACATAAAAGCAAAGCTGTTATTGTGACTTTGGTTATTTTAAAATGACTCTCCAACATAAGTTGAAAAATATGTTAGTTGAAGTAGGACTGGGGCATATGAGAAAAATCTAATATCCTGATATATTTTTGCTATGTCACGATACACAGTATACAATATTCTTAAATGAGCTGCAATGTTATTTCAATCTGGAGAGAATTTGACATACAAATTAGAGTCTTTGATGCAGGGGCCCCAGCTGAGGACATCAATTATCACAAACTTTCCGATGGGCTCGGATGAGCATTCCGTATGCTGAGAGGAACGTTATCCCCCCGGGACCCGACAGTGGTGGTGGAGGCAATGAAGGATGTGGCCGAATGGCTGAGCAAGTGGAGGTGAAGGGGTGGAGGTGGGTTGAGCTCTGCTGGAAGCGGGAGACCATGGATGATGGTCCTTATCAGCTGGAATATGGGCGGTGATTGGATGTGACGCATCTTGGACCAGCGTTGATTAATCAGTGGTGATGAGCATGCTGCACCGGTTGGGGTTAGAAGAGTCTTCCAGTTTGAATTTGCACCTGGGCTTCATTTATAAATCCCTTGCAGCATGATGTCACACACACACACTTTACCGCCCCCATTTCCCTGCTAGACTTAAATGTAAGCTCATATAAAAATTGATTCAGTATTTTGCGTAGAAACTAACAGCAGATGGTAGCAGTGAGCTTCAGGTTCTGTAAACGGATTTGATTACAGAACTAGTGAGGGGGCAGTGAAATGCTAATGTTAAATCCACCCATATGTCCCATATTAACTGCATGTTTTTAAATGCTGACGTCAGTAATTCCTTTTTAAGTCTCCAAATCCTTTTGGATTGATATTGATGTTCTGTACCAATTACTTTTTTCTAAACTTTATTGTGTCTTATGTACATACATCTATAGTAGATTGTTTTTTATCAGTACTTTTGACTCGGTAGACATTATAGATCATATGACGAACTGCGAACGTCCAGCAAATGTTTTGTCAAATCTTAATAAATGTCTGATGGACGTTTGCTGTTGATTTGACGCTCTGCGTCGTTATGACAACGTTAAGTGGACGTTGTCATAACGTTTAATGCTAGACGGGTAGTTGTTAAAGTTAAGGTTATTTTTAAATAAAAGTTTTCTTATTAGTCAAAGTGACGCTGACATCAAACAAAACGTAATATGTTTTTATATGTGACAACAAAAATTAGTACAACAATATTATATCTTTGAAGCCGGTTTGGCCGGTGACGTACTGACCTGCAACGTTCCCGATAAATAGGCACAGGATAAGGAGTTTCTCTGTCTGCCGATGTCAACTAAACCCTTCATAGATGTGGAAGGAAATACAAACCATCCGGATGAAGCTGCCTCTACAGCAGTCCAACTTTAGTCATGGAAATGTGGTGTGTAGAGACGCTCCTCACGGTGGAAATGATTCTCCTTCCATTGAAGTCAATTCATTTTCTTTAGTTACTAGAGGGAAATGAGGTGAGGTTGAAAATTTTCAAAATAAAAGTCTTGGTTTCCCAACATAAGTTACTGTTTTGGAATTCACTAATTCAAACAAACGACTTTCACAAGAATCCTAACCACGAAGCAATTTACATGCTTAATGACATTGTGTCTCCAATGTCCTGAGTGGAATTTTGGACATTTGTATTTCACTTTGTTTCAAACACCCTTGGATTTGTAGGATTTTATGTTTTTGCTGTAGAGATTTAAGGGGAGGTATGTGCTTCTTAGAGTCAAACATTCTTACAATCAAGAATTAAATAAGAAAAACAAGGCAAATAAAATGAATTAAATGAATTAATCTTTGAGAATTCAAGTAAGTTATGTTATTATTATATATATTATAATATATATATATTATATATATATATATATATATATATATATATATATATATATATATATATATATATATATAAAAATTCCCTCTCACACACCGCGGGTGGTTCTTATCCTCTTAGCTCGCGTCCTCTACCAGAGGCCTGGGAGCTTGAGGGTTCTGCGCAGTATCTTGGCTGTGCCAAGGACTGCACATTTCTGGACTGAGATGTCTGATGTTGTTCCTGGGATCTGTTGTAGCCACTGCTCCAGTTTGGGGGTTACTGCCCCGAGGGCCCCGATGACCCACAGGCACCACTGTGGTCTTCACCTTCCAGGCCCTCTCCAGTTCTTCCCTGAGGCCCTGGTATTTCTCCAGTTTCTCGTGCTCCTTTTTTCTGATGTTGCAATCACTTGGTATTGCTACATCTACCACAACGGCTTTCCTCTGATGTTTATCCACTACGACAATGTCTGGTTGGTTCGCCATTACCATTTTGTCTGTCTGGATCTGGAAGTCCCACAGGATCTTAGCTCTGGTGTTCTCCACCACCTTTGGGGGTGTTTCCCACTTTGATCTCGGGGTTTCCAGTCCATATTCTGCACAGATGTTTCTGTACACTATGCCTGCCACTTGGTTATGTCGCTCCATGTACGCTTTCCCTGCCAGTATCTTGCACCCTGCTGTGATGTGCTGGACTGTCTCAGGGGCCTCCTTGCACAACCTACACCTTGGGTCTTGTCTGGTGTGGTAGATCTGGGCCTCTATTGCTCTGGTGTTTAGGGCCTGTTCCTGGGCTGCCAGGATGAGGGCCTCTGTGCTGTCCTTGAGTCCAGCTTTTTCCAGCCATTGGTAGGATTTACTGATATCAGCCACTTGGGTTATTTGCTGGTGGTACATCCCATGTAGGGGCTTGTCCTCCCATGATGGTATCTCTGGCACCTCAACCTCCGTTCCCTGTTGTCTGAGACATTCACTGAGCACATTGTCTGTTGAGGCTTTGTCCCTGATGTATTACTTACTTGATTACAGGTTAACGAGGGAAAGGCCTTTTGAGTTAATTGCAGCCTTAAGAGTCCATTGTCCAATTACTTTTGGTCCCTTGAAAAAGAGGAGGCTCTGCATTACAGAGCTATGATTCCTAAATCCTTTCTCCGATTTGGATGTGGAAACTCTCATATTGCAGCTGGGAGTGTGCACTTTCAGCCCATATATATAAATTGTATTTCTGAACATATTTTTGTCAACAGCTAAAATAACAAAACCTGTGTCACTGTCCAAATATTTCTGGCCCTAACTGTAACTCTCTGCTATGGATGCAGCTGATGATTTTTTATAAAAAACTGATCTTTGATAGATCTCCCTTCAAATTATGCATTAGGAGAGTAACTGATGAACTTTGAATACAGTGAGTTATGTTATTAGAATTTAGTAATATGCTTTTATAACATGTTATTGAAAAGAAGGAAGCCACTGCCAAAAAGATAAATGACATTACAAAATATTTGTACACAACAAATTTGTATTCGTATCGTATCTTTTTGGTAAGGGTAGATATCGTGCTGTTGTCATACTATCGTTATAGAAATAAGTTCAGCAATTCACCCAAAGAAACTGAAAACTATTCCTGCAGACATGAATTCCTCTTACTGTAAAAATAGTCTTGGCACTTTTTTCCTTTCCATTTGTATCTTCAGTTTTTGTTTTGAGTAAAATAAAAGCTGGATAATCACTTATCCATTCTTACTTTTCATAATAATTTGGTAAGCTAAATGTACTGTGTTGCACTTTGAGCTGAGGTGACATTACAGCACCTGGTTTATATGCAGTACCACTACAGGGATCACGTGGACCACCACTAGTTCCAGGAACACAGTTTGAGAACAACTGAGAAAGATGATAATTAATTCATATCAGTCACTTTTAATTATTTTAATATAATTCTTCACTTATTAAAGCTAAAGAAATTTGACTTAATTCAGTAGCAGTGATCAACCAGACTTTGATTTGAATATTGTTTTATTATTTTTATCTAAAAAATTCAGAACAAGGACAGAGAAAATTAGCAAAGTTTTATTTTTAGTGCATGAACAGAATACCATGTAAATGTCATAGCAATCCATTTTAAATATTTTCTTTTCACTCAAGGAGTTTCTCTTTTCTAATGAAGCAATGCAAGGCCACAGTCTGCTGCAAAGATGACGTAGAAGATGGTCAAAACAAAAGCATCTGAAAGTCAAGCAGTGCAGGGAACATAGAGTGTTATCTTTCTCAGGACCAGAGTGGTTCAATACTCTGAGTCTGGTAGTTATTACATTATAAAAAAAAAAAAAACTTTTTATAACATGATATATATGAGTCAACATAGACTTCTATGTTTTGTCCAGCAATGTCACCTTATAAAAGGGATTTATTGTGCGATGCACATCTTTATCTTCACATATGCATGAATAGATACATTGTACACACGTTATTTCAGTGTCAAATATAAATTATTTCTTTTGCTATTGTTTTTTCATCAGAAAATATTTCATTTTAAAGATGATTCGTAATCTTTCTCAATAAAATGGTTTGTTAATATTCTGCATACCAGACTAAAAACCCACAGTAAACAATCATGAAAAGAAAGAATCTTCACTATCCTCCAATGCAGACTGTAAAATGTATTAAACCCACTGTATCATTCCTGAAAAACTTGGATTATATGTCAGTCCTGATAAAACATCACATAACAGAAAAACCTGGAAACTCACAGGCGTAATATTTATGAAGACATTTAAGCTACACTTTTTTGAATGACTGAAATAATTTCGATCATAAGTAGAAAAAGTGTTTACAACACATTTAGTAGAAATAAAAGAGATTAAGTGAAATAAAGTATTTTCAATCTTTTAGTAATTAAGTCAGAATAATTATAAAAACTTTCTCTTTGCCTGTGCAGCATATCTTCCCCTTCTCTCATTACTGACTTTCCTGTTTAACTGATCTCACCTAAAGGCCACTACAGCCAATGAAACTGTTAAGAAAACGTGCATATAAAAATGAAACTATGAAACAATACAATAGCCTTCATGATGTTTAGTTTTGAAGTTTTGAAGTTTTCACTTCAAAACTTATACAAGGGAGCCTGCTTGTTTTATCCAAGAATTGGTAAGGCGCTCAGAGTTCGGCAGTCCTTCATCTGTAGTAGATGTCCCAACAGCTGGGTCCACTTCCAACTGAGAAAGAAACAGAGAAGAAACCAAAGACTAACTGTTTAATTACAGTTGCATTTTGATTGTGGTGGAAAAAAAAAAAGACAACAGGATCAAGAGCTATTTTTTCTTGCTTCAATATGAAAATCATATTTGTACTTAATGATTCACACAGAAAATTACAAGAAGAAAAATGAACAAGTTAAAACAGTTTAAACAAGATTGTTTGGTATTGTGATGGTCTGAGCTCAACAACCAAATGAAATGGATACCTGAATGAAGAAGGATACTTAAAGACTTCGGAACTGAAATATCTCCAGTGTTTACTATCCTTCAGAGTCATCTGAGCTATAGTGTCAAAAGATAGAAAATTTGTGTGAGAATTATTGGACAGTTCATTTTTTATCAAAACGTTAACTGATTTAATGCATTTATAACGAGCATTCCATGGAATTAAAGGTTAGTCATTGTAATGAAAATATTTTTGAACAGAAAAAATATGCAAAAGTATTATAAACCAGTAAAATTAAGCAAAATTAAGGCTACCATTTACCCAATTGTATATTAGCAAACACTTAGCCGCCTTGACGGAAGCAGTGATCATTGTCCAGTCTAAACTTTGTGTGTTGTCAAAAAAAAATCCTGAACATCTTTCAGCCAGGCTAAAAGTTTACGAAGCTATTTCTAAGGCTTTATGACTCCAGGGAAGTACACAACCACTTATCAATCCAGATGTTTGTTTTTTCTGGTTTTTACAATTTCCAATGAAATCCTAATTTCAATGTTTTGTCTTTTATTTATTTATTTTACTTTTTTTCAGGTATTTTTTTTATTTTTATAAGTGGTTTGATGATATTAAACATTTGTGCAAACAATAAGAAATCTGTCAATGGATTGTATTTAGTTTCAAGTAAAGAATCTCAAACATTATTACATAGTAGTTAATGTGCTTTTTTCTCCTTGGCAGTATGTTTTACTTTCACCCAGTTACACAGACATTAACAGCTAAATTTTAACCTGCCTCAGTGTTTTTACATTAGTCTGTTATTAAAAACCAACAAACACCATAAAACACTTGAAGATGAATGCTTGTACATTGTTTCAGGGATTTTCAGTTAATTTAACACTAAAATGGAATCAAAGTGTTCAACTTTACCGTGTATTTACATGTAAACATGCAGAAGTTGAAGGGAGGGAACATGAAATAGGGAAAATGAGCAAGATGAAAATCGTAAATGTTTATATACAGCTCTGGTAAAATGAGAGCTTGATCATAAAAAATGATCAATCTCTTTGATTTTACTGTTTTACATGTTTGAGTAAAATGAACATTGTTCTTTTATTTTATGAACTACTGACAACATTTCTCTGAAATTCCAATCAAAAAGTTAGTATTTAGTTGCAGAAAATTAGATATGGTCGAAATAACAATAATAATAATAATAATAATAATGATAATAATAATAATAATAATAATAATAATAATAATAATAATAATAATAATAATAATAATGAGAAGAAGAAGAAGAAAATAAGTTTTTTTATTTTATTTTTAGCAATACATTTATTTATAAAAAGACAATGACAAACAAATCAAAACAATCATCAGTACAATATCCTACATTTACAAGAGGATTTTTATACTCTAAATTGTTCTGTTTTGAAATGGAGCACAATCTGTCCTCGAAACCCCACAGGTCCACAAAATCTTTAAGGTTGCCTGTTGCTTTGTAAAAACAAAACTCTATCCTCAGTCTGGCTTTCACATTGATTTTCCACACATAAGTAACACTCAATTGAGGTCCAGCCTGCATCTTATCGCGTCGAGTCAAATAGATAGCCATCTTGGCTTCAGACAATAAATAATTTAAAATCCGTGATTTAGAGGCCGTGGCTTTACTATGAGGAACACCAGTAATAAAAACAGAACTGGTAAAAGCTATACTAAAAAGATCAAAAAAACTCGCCAGTACAGTGAAAAAACAGGCAATCGGGCACACTCGGTAAAAACATGAAAAACACTCTCGGATAATCTGCAGAAAGGACACTCATTTACTACGCCAGGACTGATGATCGATAAAAAAGAGGTTGTGGCGATGGCGCCATGCAGTATTCTCCACTGTAGGTCCCCGGTCCTTTTTCGTATTGGGGGCTTATACAATATTCTCCATTGAGGCCGAGAGCCTCTCAGTCTGTCATCCCACACGCACTCGGGTCTTTTGTACAAAGTCTTCTTATTCAGGACTTTTGTGTAGGCTCTGTACAATGTTTTCGATCCTGTCTTACACAGATCCAGGTTCTTCTCCAGGTCTCGAAAGAGGGGACTGCCGTCCTCCTTAAATCCCGGGTCTATAAACAGTTCCGGAAAAGGGTCTGATGGGTCAGGGTGACGCTCCTCTGCAGCGTGCTTACGCAGGAGCCGTCTGTCCTCCGCCGTCAGGCGCCTCCTTTACTTTTTCCAAAAACCGTCGTGCAAATCTCGCTCTCCGGACCCCCAGCATCAAAACGACCTCCTGGCTGTTGTCAAAATCCAGTCCAGCCACCTGGATTAGTCGCCGCAGGGTCACTATCTTGGCCTTAGACAGCATGTCGGTTATGCCCGGCATGCTGCCGTCGGCAACATCTAGACGTGCACCGCACACTAACGGCTCCTCTAACAGCCAATACAAAGAATCACTCGCGCTTGACCTGTGTACCTTAAAAAAGCCGCACGATTTAAAAACACTTTGATAAAATCGAGGTATCCCTTTTAACTTTAAAAGATTAAAATCGGTAAAAAACAAAGCAGCATCCAGACATGTCTAAGAACACAGCTGGCCATATCTCTCCATACAGGACATCCTGTCAGGTATTTTTGCACAAACTGTAGGCGAAGTGTCGCCGTCCTACTGGCCAGGTGGACAAGGCCTTGGCCCCCCTCTCTCTCGGTAAAAATAAAACAGACTGCGGTACCCAGTGCAGACCCTTCCAGAAGAACTCAACCATCTGCAACTGCACCCTCATGAGCAATCCAGATGGAGGGTCCAACACCGCCAGTTTATGCCATAGTTGGGAAGCGACAAGATTATTCAATATGAGCACTCTGCCCCGATACGACAGCTGGGCAAGGCAAGGCAACTTTATTTATATAGCACCTTTCAGCCAAAGACAACTCAAAGTGCTTGTACAAGAAAAATAAGGAATACATAATGTTAAAAGAAAAAAATAAAATAAATAAAAAATAAAATAAAATACAATAAAATAAAGAAAATATAGACAAAGTAAACATTAAAATTGTAATTATAGTAAATGAGTGGGATTAAAAATTTAAGAATAGACAACTTCAAATAAGAAGGTTTTTAACCTTGTTTTAAATTAACTCAAGGTTGGCGCAGACTTACAATGAGCAGGAAGTTTATTCCATAGTGTTGGAGCATAAAAACTAAAGGCTGCTTCTCCGTGTTTACTTCTGACTCTCGGTGTAGTTAATAGGTTTGAGTCTGATGATCTTAATGTTCTGAGTGGTACGTAGGGATGCAGAAGAGCGGAAATGTAGTTTGGATTTCTATTATGAAGTGCTTTATAAACTATTAAGAAAATTTTAAAGTCAATTCTTTGAACAACAGGCAGCCAGTGCAGAGATCTGAGAACTGGACTGATGTGGTGATCTCTTTTTGTGTTAGTAAGGGCTCTTGCAGCAGCATTCTGGAGGAGCTGGAGCTGTCTTAATGCTTTTTTTGGTAATCCAGTTAGAATGGCATTGCAATAATCAAGTCTGCTAAAAACAAAGGCATGAACTAGTCTCTCAGAATCCTGTATGGACATGAGTCGTCTGATTTTAGCAATATTTTTGAGGTGATAGTATGATGTTTTTATAATAGATTTGATGTGGTAATCACCCCTAAATATTTGGCTTTATCAGAGCATTTTAAACCAATTGAGTGAAGGTAGGTGATAGTTTTCAATCTGTGCTCTTTTGGTCCTAATACTAATATTTCAGTTTTGTCTTGATTTAATTGGAGAAAGTTATGGCTCATCCAGACATTAATCTGCTCAATACATTTAGTGAGTACTTGAACCTGATTGTAATCTCCTGGTGAAAGACTAATGTACAGTTGTGTATAGTCGGCGTAGTTGTGGTATTCTATATTATTATTTCTTATAATTTGAATTAATGGGAGCATAGTAGGAACGCACAATAATAAAACTAGGCTTCGTAGAAGCCTGGGGGATTATGGATTAAATGAAGGAGTATATTTGGATCTTACAGGTCAACCAAGAGGAATTCCACATGAATTCAAAACACGACATGAAGTTCTTGCAGGATTTGAATCTATTATTCCTTGGATCACGATTAATAAAAATGTTGAATGGATCAACTATGTCTATTACAACCAACAGAGAATGATCAATTTTACAGTTGAAGGATTTATGACCCTAGGAGAACAACTTCATGAAACAAGTAGGATGGCGAAACAAAACAGGCAAGCATTAGATTGGATCCTGGCCAAAATGGGAGGAGTCTGTCACATATTCGCTAATGAATGCTGTACGTATATTCCTATGAACACCGCACCAAAAGGTACATTTAGAGCAGCAATGACAAAGCTAAACAAATTAAGAGTGGAAATTAAAGAAAACGCAAGAAAGAACAACTGGCCATGGCAAAGTCAGGAGGAAATTTTAGGAAAATGGGGAGCCTTTGCAGCCAAAATTGGAGTAACTCTAGTAATAGTACTAATTGTTATTTTTCTGCTTGTGTGTTGTGTGATCCCTATTATGAGAAAATGGATCTTGAAGACTGTATACAGATGGATGACCAAGGACGGAGAACAACACATGGACTAACACATAAGGCTGCCTGGACCGATGAACCCATGACCAATGCAAAGGACTGCTAAGCTCAAGGACACCTCGATGCTAGAAATAAAAGCACTTATGGTTTGGTTGATGGACTAAAGGTTTAAGGAACGGAAACAAAAAACCTGGAGTAGAATAAAATGGACTCATGGGAAATACACTGTTGTACACACCATTACACACATTTGTTACACAACTATATACAATTTATATACAATACAACACGGGTGGCCTACACATAGTTAACACACTAGGAACACGTGTGAATGTGAGTGAGCTGAATATGTAAGACAGTATGAGTGAGAATGTCTGAGTATGAATGAGAACATGAGAATGTGAACGTATGAGAGTGCATGGGTGAGCACAAGCATAACCAAAAAAAATTATTTCTGTGACGATTCACTTATTATGATTTAACACTTAATTACTCAATCACACTGAATTATAGTTACACTATGAACATTATATGAATTGTCATCAAGATCATGTATCAATGCTGATGTATTAAACATTATGATGAATATCTGTGATTTATCCACTGTGGATCCATGATTGTGTTACATTTGTGCCAACCGATTCTAACAGTATTGGCGGTCGCCCGAGGCGGGCGGGGACCACTTCCATTTGAACAATTTGCTTTGTATTTTCTGTCCAACATTTTCCCAGTTTTTGCTCACAATCTCGTCGCTACCCAAAAACACACCGAGGTACTTAAAACCATCCCTTTTCCATATTAACCCTTGAGGAAGAACCGGGGTCCCCGCGGGCCACTCACCGACTGCTAAGGCCTCACTTTTGCCCCAGATCACCCTTGTGGCAGACAAAGTGAAAAAGTCATCCGTAATCTTAGTTAGGGTGCTCACATCTTGTTGGTCTCTAATAAAAACAACGACATCATCTGCATAAGCGGATAAAACCATCTTGTTTGTAAAACCAGGTAAAAGCACGCCTCGAACATTCGAGCGTATATTCTGGAGGAGGGGTTCCAAGGAGAGCGCGTAGAGCATCCACGAGAGCGCGCAGCCCTGCCAGACGCCTCTATGCACCCTAAAAGGAGCACACAGGCTACCGTTGACCTTCAACACACTCTCAATGCCACTATACAGCACCTGGATCATGGCGATAAGACCCTCGCGTGTTCAACGCGATCAAACGCCTTTTCTTGATCTAATGAAATCAAGCCAATCTGTAATCCCAATGAACCAGAGACTTCCAAAACATCCCGAATTAGGTAGATGTTATCTACCATGGACCTGCTGGGGACGCAATAGGTCTGATCCCAGTGGATGACCTGCTCCATAGCCTTCTCTAGCCTGACGGCCCGGGCCTTGGAGAGGATTTTATAATCGGTGCAGAGGAGGGACACGGGGCGCCAGTTCTTTATCTCCTGCAAATTACCCTTCTTGGGTAGCAGGGTGATCACCGCTCTGCGGCAAGACAGGGGGAGTGAGCCAGTTTGCAGACTTTCGTTATATACCACGAGCAGATCTTGGGCCAGTAGGTCCCAGTAGGCCTTGTAGAACTCGACGGTGAGCCCATCAATACCCGGGGACCTCTGACCTTTCATGCTCTGGAGGGTGTCATGAAGTTCCTGGAGCCCCAGGGGGCGTTCCAGAGTAACACTGGTCACTTCAGAGACTTGAGGCAGTTTACCACAAAACTCCTCGTACAGTTCCTCATTGTCCTCGTATTCACTATGATACAACGAACTGTAGAACTCCACCGCTCTTCTCCGGATCTGCCCCGGCTCACTCAGCTGCTGCCCCGTGTCCGACATCAACCAATGTATCTGCTTCCTCTGCCCGTGTTTCCTCTCCAAGCCGAAAAAAAAGCTAGATGGAGCATCCATCTCTGCGATGTTCTGAAACCGGGATCTAACCAAAGAACCCTGAAACTTGTTCTCCAACAGGTTGGCTAAATCCAGCCTTTTAGATTTAAGACCTGCAATATGCTCTAGATTTCCAGTGGAGGCACTAAGACGTTCTAACTCCACAATCTTCATCTCTAGATCTCTAATTGATCCGGTGATGTGAGAAGTGGCATTAACAGTGTGTTGTTGGCTCAGCAGTTTTATCTGAACCTTACCATGATCCCACCACTGTTTCAGACAGGTAAAATCAGATTTTGTCTGCCTAAAACCAATCCAAAAATAGCTTAAAACCTCCTTAAAACTACGGTCATGGGTTAAGACCGAATTAAAATGCCAGTATGCACTTTTAGGCAAAATATTCCTAACGAACACATTGCCTAGCAATAGTGAATGGTCTGTGAAACCCATAGGTACTTTCTGGCACATTCTAAAGACATTAAAATGGTGTTTAAAACAGTAAAATTGATCAAGTCGAGCTAAAGAGATCTTATTTTCTGTGGTGTGACCAGGTGTACTGCCTGGAGCCTGCATTGCTCCTCCTCCATACATCCACCAGGCCGTGAGAAGAGACCAGCTGTCGCAAAGCGTGTTGGGCTATTGGATGCGGTTCTGCATGGTTTCGGTCTAAAACATCATTTTCAGTGCAATTAAAATCTCCCCCTATAAAAATATAATCTTCCGACCCATAAGCTCCCAACCTTCCCTCAATTTCCTCAAAAAAGCGCTTTTTTTCCGTATTGACGATGGGAGCATACACATTCATAAAAATTAGAGTAAAAAGATCAAACTTAGCTTTCACCAGCAGACACCTCCCTGAATAACATGTACGATTTCTGTGGAGTTTGGGGTGAAAGCTCTGGAGAAAAGGAAGCCTACTCCCGCACTTCGTGAAGTGCTGTGACTCAAAATCACCCTCCTCTCCACTCTCTACCCCAATCTGCGTCCATTCCACATTCACTGTGTGTTTCTTGTAAATAAAGCACGTCGATCTTTTTCTGGTTCATCATCTGATAAATTAAAGCTTGTTTCTCTGCCTCCCTTGCCCCATTAAGATTCAAAGATGCCATCCTAAAGGAATCCATTCTGAGGAAAAGGCTGTAGGAGAAAAACCCCACAAAGTTATATAAACAAACACGATCTGACCAGTCATCATAAAGACTAAAATTGTTTTCGGACTTTAAACATTATCTTTTTCAATCTAAACACTTCCGTGTCTGAGATCCGGACAGCTCCTTATTTTTTATACGATAGCGGGCAGAAAAATAAAACATTCTCAAGTTTGGAAAATAACTCTCGATTTTTACACCTTTTAAACCTTTCGTTTGACATAAAAAAGTGCGGACCGACTCAGCGGGATATCTGGGTTCTTTCGTGCTCAACTGGGAAACTGTGACGTCACTTGAGTCTGAGATCCAGCTCTCAGCGTCACTGCTATATGACAGTTCCTTTCTAGTTGCAGCTAATTTACAGGCTTGCTTGCTAACTTGTGCAGCGGCAATCACGTTCTTCCTCTGCTCCTTCTAGTTGTCGGGGTAGCAAGCGCCCACTCCCTCTCATCGTCTGCCTCCCTGTCTCTCTTCCCACCGCATCCCCCTCTACCATTTCCGCTCTGGACGTCCAGTCACCTAGTTCCTCTACCTGCATCTCTCTCAGCTCTTCCTGAGCTCTACCTGCCTGCTTCCCTTCCTGTTCTCCCCGCTCACCACTTTCCTGCGCTGCCTCTTCTTCCCCACCCTGCGCACCATCCTTCCCCAAATTCTTGCTCTCCGTCCTGTCCTCACCCTCCTTGATTCCAAACGTTCCACTACTCTCATCAGGCCCAGAAACATCTCCTTTCACCACCACTGGAGCCACTACTCCAACAGCCACGGTCTCACCTACGCTACCGCAGAAGGAGACGCAGCGGTGGATTCCGCCGCCTCCCAGCCTCTCCCGGTGGCTGCCCTGTCTGTTCGGCAGCAGCGGGCTGCTGCTCTGCCGGGGCTGGGGGGGCCGGCCCGCCCGCTCCTGCCTGGACACATTTTTATGATGTGGCCTTCCTGACCGCACCCAAAGCATTTCATGTTTGCCGAAGTGGCAAACAACATGTAATCAAACCCCTCGATTTTAACGTGAAAACATAAATCTAATTCCTCATCCCTCTTATTTAGAACCATAAACAACCGCCTGCGATGTGACACTACGTGTTTTAGTAACGGTGACTTGCACCCAGATAGCACCTTTCTAATTGGTGACACGACCTTTCCGTGGCGTCATAGTTCTTTAATTAAGAACTCGTCGCTGATAAACGGAGGGACGTTAGATGATCTTTGTTGCCGGTAGCGTTAAAGGTCAAACGTGCAAAAACAAACCATTTACAGAAACACCCACCTCCACCAAGTGTTGCACCTATTCCACCTTCTCCCCAAATAAAACCACAGCCCCCTTCATCCTAGCCGCCGATGTTATTGCCTTATACCCAATGTCTTTACCCACCACCAAACAAACTTCCTCCACGCTGCACGGGGAACCGGCGCCCACCTTGACGCCGTTCCTCCGCGTCAGAGCGGAGGACCAACCACTCCCAACACCAACCACCATGGCGTCTGAAGACGTCGGCCTCGCGGCCACACCCAATGCCCCCAAAAAACACCTTAAATCGTGACCAAACTTAACACAAACCAACAATTAAACAAGTAAAACAAATCACCCAGTGAAGAATCAGTAATAAAAAGCCAAAAGATAAAGAAAACCAATCGCTCTCGCACTTTCTCTTCCACCGCTCTTCAAGTCACGTCCTCCTCACACAAGAAGAAGAAGAAGAAATGCAGCGCATTCAGACCTCAAATAATGTCAATAAATCAAGTTCATATTCATTTAGAAACAACAATACTTATGTTTTAACACAGAAGATCTTCATGAATCAATATTTGGTGGAATAATAATGAGGTTTTCAGTGGGGTTCAGTTCACTGGTTTCTTAATATTTTTCAGGCTGTACATAAAGATATCCAGTTATTTGTAAGTTTAAAAAATATATCTCACCATCGCCTCCAAACCAAAAGATGCAGAAAAGAAGTGCAAGTGAACAGCCAACTGTGAAGGAAATGAAAGAAAATAGATTTTTATAATTTTGCATTTCAGTCACAGAAAATGATAATATTCATTTCAAAGAGGCACTTTCATTCATGTTACCTGCCACGCCTATCAACAGTAGGTTTAAAGGAGGTTCAATTTCTGCAAAGATAAAATAATATTAAAACCAAACCCAAGAGATTTGCTCTTTAGATAAGAGCAAAACTAAAGATGTTGCTCTTTTCTTTAGATCTCAAAATACTCTGGTCTGCAAGTACAAAACAGTGTAGTCAATGGATTTACAAACTGACAGCAAAGATCCAATTAAGTATTTATAAGGAAAAAATCAACATAGTTAAATATGCACAATTCTTCGGAAAACTAATGAAAAATCCTTATAACTTATGATTCTCCAAACATGCCATGTTACTTCTGCGATTCTTTCGTAATGCAGTGACTCACCAAGGTCGTCTCCTGACCAGTGATCAATGTAGAAGTTTTCAACTTCTGCATTGTTTGAGAAATCTATAATTTATTTACTGCTGAGGTACACAGAAAATTCACTTGATTGTGATACAAAAGAAAAAAGAAAAAGAACTGGTGGAGTGACAGATTTTTGATTAATATTTTGCTTTCCAACTTTGTTTAAAAATACATTTAAAAATTTTTTAGAAGAAAACTTTTGATACTTTTTAATAAGGTGGATGCTGATGCACTGGTTGTAGTAATACTTTCATCAGATGATATTTTGTCGACTTTAAATGACAAAGTTAGCATAACTCTTGTTTATTTCCTAATTTGGATAAAATACATGTTTCTTCAAAATACCCCAAAACTCCCTAGTAAGGCTGCTACTCCCACGACCCGACTCAATATATAGATGTGGTAAGGAAATTTTTAAAGGGGACAATTTATTTTTTCGTTGAACTTTATGTAAATATATATTGTCTGCCAGTGAATGTGACACAAAGTAAAATAAAAATGCAAAAATATTCTTGTTACATATTTTCAAGAAAATCCAAGATCATCCCACTTCCCCATGCTGGAGATTTTAGTTAACAGTAACAACAAATAAAGTTACCTTTAAAATTAGTCACACAAGTGACATCTAGATGCAACAGTATTCCCAGACTGCAATAAAATAAACCTGGTTGTGTGTGATGTTTTTGTCTCCTGCAAACTTAGCTTTAATTATACTTATTTTTTCCTATCTAATCATAAGAAATCATAGTCGGAGAGAAAGATAGGACAGGAAGAGCATGTTTCCTAAACAAAGAGGAAGTAAGTTTCCAGCTTGCAGATATATAAAAATAACTGAGACCAGTCCTTATTTAAAAGCACAAAAGTTTTAAAGGATGAAATATAAACATTTTGAGAAATTAGATAAGAGTTAAAGTAAAGTACTTATATTAATATTGGTTTACTTATGACAATACTTACATTTACACTCTCACTTGTGGGAAAACTTACAAGTAAAACAAGTAACTGTAACTTTGGTATGAAATAATAATAAAAGAGTAATAAGTTGTGGTTATCATAAAATTATAAGTTAATGCTAAATCAGAAAAACTAAAAGGGTTATGAATGTGATTCTAACATTGAACTTGAAATGGTGTAAAACATGTAACTGCTATTAAAGGTCACTGATGATGTGTTGGAGGTGGATAGTAGGTGAAAGGTTAGGGGTAAAATGGGGACTAACAGGAAAGCAGAGATGACCAATGCCTTTTTAGGACATAGATTGTTGAACAACTTAAACGTGTCAGAGAAAAGACATGGGAGGAACGTTGAGCAACCCTGAGACATTAGCCAAAATATCAGGACAAAAGGTCTGTAAGACCTCTAAGACCTTTTGTTCTGACCAGTGAACAGATGAAATGAGTTCATCTGTCCAAACAGTTAACCAATAAAACAAGCACAGCAACAGTGTTAGCCAATGCAAATGCACCGAAAGCGGGTATAAACCCAATATAAGGGGAGAGCAAAAGAGGAATCTTTGGTTGGATCCTCCAGGCAGCTTCGGGCCAAGACCAAGATGGACAAAGAACTCTGCAGCTGAAGACGGGGCCACAGAGCTGAAGACTGTCCTGCACATGGGGACCAACCCATCAGCAACATGTGGCTTCAAATCGCACTTCTCTCATCAGCTGGGTTCAGACCCCAAAGACAAAGATGAAGACCCCAAAGGAAAAGATGAAGACCAAGGCAAAGAAAAAGACCCAAGTCCTGTGTGACCTCACCATCGATGCAGAGATAACAGCTCATCAGATCCACAGAGATCCCTGCCTTCATCGCTCAACCACCTCCTCCTGCTGACACATCTTCTTCATCATCGAGCCAGTTCTGGGATTCGAAACACCAAAGTCTGTCTGTCTCTCTCAAAGGTTCCCTTTTTAGTTCTTAGTATCAGTGTTAGGGAAAGATAGGCTAGATGATTGATTTTACTTATTTGATTACATATGCTACTTAATTAAGCTGTACTGACCCTTGCAAAATTGCTTTACTAATAAAATATTTAGCATAAAGAATATCTAAAAGACATTCAATTAATGAGTCACCTCAAAGATCTTTGATGGTAGTAAAATAGCTGTGATGTTTGATTCTGGGGAAGAAAAGTGGGTAATGTTTTATAGGTTGCTTTAGCCCAAATTTAAAACAACATCCTTGGGACTCGCCTGAGTCACTAAAACCAACCTGATTCAGTAACAAGTGCAAGTTATAAAAAAAGAGAAGGAGCGACCGTTAACACGTTAACAGATGTCCTCTGTGAAACTAGTTGGCTGTAGGCTGCTCAGTCTGGCAAATTCACAGGGAGAAGAAGGGTGAGACATCTGGATGTAGATCGTAGAAATCAGACGAATCCTTTCTCGAAACCAGCTTAAACAGAGTTTACTTCAGTTCTGGATAGGGTAAATCCCAGCAGATTTGGGAAACTCAATTCACCCGTTAGATGGAGAGCTGGTAGAACATCTCCCCTCTCAGAAGAGGAAGTAGTGACTGAGAGAGTAGAGAGTGAAGGAAGGGGGTTGGAGGGTGTCGCGGCAACGACAGTATTCTATACATTGTTTTGTTGCAGGAGTAATGAAATACTTATTGTTGTAATTTTGCCTTCTGTGGTCTATTCTGTGACAAAGGATTCAGCCGCAATCCTCCTGAGTTCATGTCTTCTGCATTTTAACATATTCTAAATATGCACCATGAAGCTAATTTTAATTTGGCATGAACAACACACTTTATCTATAACTGTCATTCATCCACCATCCATTTGTTTTTAGGTTTAGTTCTTAGTAATTACCTATCTTGAAACCTTTTATGAAAAACTTATCTCCTCTAAAATATGTTAGCAAGGCACATTTTGACAAATGATCAACAGGTTAGGGTAAAATAACTTTCATATTCAAGGACTCACTCTTGCAGATTAGATCTGGCTCAGTCCAAGTCCCATCAATGCAGGTTATGATCTCAGAGCCACTTTCTTTTTCAAATCCATTGGCACACTCATAGGTGACTTTGGTACCATCTGGGAAATCCTCTCTTAGGAGGGATTCATTCGTGAGAACCATGTTCTCCACACTTTTAGGTATGGGGCAATTACCTAGAAGGAAATATAAATCTTGCATGAGCCTTGTAGTTGATCAGCATTTCATCTGCCATTACCCAACATTGATGCTGCAGCCTACTAACAAGACCACCAAGGCCCCATAAAGACTTAAATAGTAATGGTAGATTTTATTAATGTTGTTCAACTAAAAAACTTCAGATCATGTTGTCAACCATTTCCTTTCCTTTGTGATCACTCCTCTACTTTCAGTTCTCTATAAAGCTAGGATTATTGTTGACAATTTGAACCTGCTTGAGGACCTACAAATATTTGTAGGGATTGTTCTGCATACACCATCTTTCACTCAAATTGTATGGTTGCATTTCAACTCCTTGTATGATTACAGAGCAGGTTGATCTTTACCAGCATTTCTATGAACCCTCTCTGAGGATTCATTTCTGAAGAATCAGAGATGGATTTTTTTTTTTTTTAACTGGCCACATGGGCTAGTAAAGAAAACTTTTTATTGTTGACACAAACATTTCACAAGCCACTGTTTTCTTACCACATTCCATGCTAAGTGGCTCTCATTGTGCTTATCAGGAACCTAAAAGCTACAGAAATAGCTTGACAAATTTTTCCAGATTGATAAATATCAGAGATGTTGTCTTCTCATCCTAAAATAACTTAGAACAAGTCATAATATGTTGCTTTTTTAGTTCTTCATAGACATGTTGTCTGGGAGTCTCAAAGTATATTTGATGTTTCTTATTAGTTCGGTGTGAAATCTACAAAAGGCTGGAAATACAGTGTATATTATTATCCTCTAATGAATGTGTCACAAAGTATAATATAAACACAATAATAAATTATGATGAGATCTGTGCTTTTATTGTACATACATTGATTTGTGGTTGAGCTTTGTAGTTGACTTTCATATATAAAACCACAACTCCCAGGACTATTATATTACTGAGGCACATTATTGAAAATATTGTAACAAGACATTTTAATTTCTCTTCTTTTACAATTTCACTGCAAGAACAAGAGTAAGTTTGTTTCATTTACGGAAGAATATGTAGGTAAAGGCCCATCTGAGAACGTGCATTATGAACGAGCTAGGGCTGTAAATATTATATCACTCATAATTTGTTTATTCTTGACACTTATTCCCATTCAAATAAACAGTAAAGACAGAGAATTCAAATTTCAACTCATGCTATGGTTTGCTTTTTGATTATGTTAGAATTCTGATGAAACTTGTTCAAAAACCTGTAAAATTAATAACAATTAACCATTAGCCATGTTGCATTAAGGGTTTCATCTCAGGATGGATTATTGTTAGTTTTATATAGTGGTGAAATGATAGGTGGGACAATGAGTTAATTTACAAGTAGTGGAGAGAAGATTTGTGTTATTCACAAATGTGCTTACAAGCTGTTTGTATTTTGTCTCAGCTAACTGATCTTCTATCAAGCCTGAAAATAAGCACAAGAACTTACGGACACATCGTGGTGGCTCAGAATCATATTCAGCACTTTCAGTACACGTAATGGTTTCATTCCCAAACAAGGTGTATCCTGCGTCACATGTGAAATGTATAGTATCTCTATATTCTGGTTCACGGTCACTATTCCAAGAATGTTCACCATTTTCCACTTTGATCGGTTTGGAACAAGAAACAGCTGGAAAAATTGGCAAAAGAAAAAAAAAATGCTGTTTCAATAAAAGTCAAACTTTATTTTTATTGTAATAAAACTTTATTTTATTACAGCCTCAGCAGAACAAAGTGCTTCATAATAAAAACAACATCGCAGGGAGATAAATAAAGATCAAATAAAATTACTTTTAGCAAAAATATTGAGAATAAAATTAGTAAAATTTCAAATGGATGAAAACCAAAACAGTACATAATTTTAGATGAAGCAATTTACCTCCATCCTTCCATTTCAGGCACAAAGTGCTTCAGTAAACTGTGTTGAGAAGCGAGAGAATATTTCAAACTGATCAACACTTACGGATACAGTCTGCGATTCCAAACCATCCTTCGTCCACGCACTGTTTGGACCTTGATCCACTGACCCGGTAGCTGCATAAAGACAAAGGAAGTCATAAAGACTGATACAATCTGTTGAGCCATGAATAAAAAAGTTTAGTTTGCGAGTCAGATTTAATAATTAAAGATTATGGTAAATTTTCGATTTACACTTTTGGAGTCGTAGTTTGCTGACAGGATCCAAACGCCCCGTCTTTTCAGGAAGATGTAGGCTATATTTCTTCCCAAACTAACACTGGCTATATAAATTTTATAAAAGAGTAAGTTTTCTGTTTTAAAGAATAATTGTACAGCACATACACACACCTACTTATAGCATGTTGCTCAATGTCATAAAGGGGAGGAAAAAACTAATAAAAAACACTTCTGCAGTTGACAAAGCAGGGTTTCCACCAGAAAACGTCAGAGCCCAGTGGTAGGGGCACCCAGACGGTCCATCGTGTTTTTGTGTCAGAGGATGTTAAGCTGACAGAAAATTTAAAAATATGAAATGTTACAGGAAGATATTGCCAGTGAAATGCTATTTACACCAACAGCAATAGTCTTACAAGCAACAAATCATAAAAATACAATTAAAATGAGTAAAAGTAAAGCCTGGCAGGCCGCACAGCTTATAATAAACTGGGGGAAACGCTGCAAAAGAATAAAGGATTACCCAAAAGTGCTAATTAATAACACAAAATAGGAAAATTTGAGGTAATATCAGCGTTTTAACAAGTTTTCTGCCAAAAAAAAGAGCAAAAGATTCTTTTGTGTTGATCAGCATTATATGAAAATAGGGGGGACAACATAAATAAGTTGCTTTTCTCATGCAGCAGTTAGATGGAAGGAGAGTGAAAAACTTCTCAGTGGTGGCTGTGGCAGCATCAATTAATACAAGAAAAGAGTTACTATACGATTATTGATGTGTGGATCGGAATTTTCTGAAATAAAATACTGTAGTCGAAATAATAACAACACATGAAACATAAGTTTTTTATTATTTGTATTAATATTGATAGACTTACATGGAGTATAAATAATTACAAACTAACCTCAGCTCTTATAACAAGAAATTATGTAACAACTGGTAGAATGGCACTGGAGATAAAATAATAGTTCCTCAGCTGAGTTCACCTACCTTTAGCACCCTTGAGAAACAGTGAAGTTACCACTCTTACACAAGGTATGCTCCATTAAGGGTGAAGAAAGTAGTCATTTTATGTCTTAAATATCAGGAATGTAACTCAGTTCATTAACTCAGATTTATTTTTACTGAACATTCACATATAAAAACAACTGAACTGAAATCATGAAGCAAGAAATTTGTATAAAACGCTGCTGTGAAGAAATGTATAAACAGCTCATTACTCAACTCTCATCAATTTTCTATTTAATCTTAAATTTTACTAATCCACACAAACATTTCACCAGCCACTTTTTCTCCTGTGTGCAACATCATCGCTGAGCTATTTCAGAGAACCTACATCACATTCCATTTTTTCTACATTGGATGTAAGTGTCTCTCATGGAGTATTACAGTTTAAAAGCCTCAGAAATAGTTTAAAATGACTTAAATCAGGTCATAATGTGTTGGTTATTTAAAATCTTTTTAGCAATGTTGTAAGGGAGTTTTCACACACTGTTGCTGATATATTGGCCCATTCTTTCATGCATATCTCCTCTAGAGCAGGAATGTTTTGGGGCTCTCGCTGGGCAACACAGACTTTCAACTCCCTTCAATGGTTTGCTAGAGGTTGAGATCTGCAGATAGAAATGCTTCTTACGAAGCTACCCCTTTGTTTCCCTGGCCATGTGTTTGGGATCACTGTCATGCTGAAAGATCAGCCTATGTTTCATCTTCAATGCCCTTGTTGATGGAAGAAGTTTTGCAACCAAAATCTCATGATACAGGGTCCCATTCATTCTTTCATATACAAAGATCAGTCATCCTTGTCCAGTTGCAGAGAAACAGCTTCAAAGCATGATGTTGCCATCCCCATGCTTCACAGCAGGTATAGTGTTCTTTGGATGCAACTCAGCATTCACTCTCCTCCAAACACAACTCAAGTTTATACCAAATAGTTCTACATCGGTTTCATCTGACCATGTGACATTCTCCCAATGCTGTTGTGGAACATCCAAATGCTCTCTAGTAATCTCCAGATGGGCCAGGATATGTACTTTCTTAAGCAGGGGAACGTTTGACTGAAGGATCTGAGTACCTGGTGGTCTAGTGTGTTACTGAGAGTAGCCTTTGTTACGTTAGACCCATCCTTCTGCAGGTCATTCTGCCCCCCCTCCATTTTCTTTGGGGTGATTGTGAATCTGGAGGTAGAGCAGTCATCTGTGATAGGAAGGTGGAAGGTTAAAGTCCAGCATCCCCTGCCACATGTTGGTGTGCTCCTGGGCAAGGCACATAACTGACAAATTGCTTTCCAGTTTGTGTATCGGTTTACAAATGTGTGAGCATTTATGAATGCAAATGGGTGAATGTAACTCTAATGTAAAGCGCTTTAAGTGGTCAAAATGATTGGAAAAGCTGTATATGTTCAGCCCATTTACCATTTTCCATCTGAAATTTTTGATGCATGGAGTGAGATCCTTCTTGGATCCCCAATCAAGCGGTATTATCAGTAGTCTTGAATGTCTTCCATTTTCTCATTACTGCTCCCACAGAACAATACAAGCACAATAACAAACAAAAATAATGCTGGCTATGTATTTTTTTTTAAAGAGAGTTTCATAGGGGCTGCACAGTGGAGCAGTTGGCAGCAATGTTGCCTTGTAGCAAGAAGGTCCTGGGTTCAATTCCCAGCACGGCGTCTTTCTGCATGGAGTTTGCATTTTCTCAATGAACATGCATGGGTTCTCACCGGGTTCTACAGCTTCCTCCCACAGACCAAAAACAACTTTCAGGTAAATTGGTCTCTCTAAATTCTCCCTAGCTGTGTGTGTGCATGGTTGTTTATGTTGTGTGAAGAAGAAAGTCACACTTGTGTCTTCTTTTAAGTTTTTTATTTTTTTTCAGTAGATCTTGATGCAACTGCCACACCACCAAAGGCAAGTAGGTGAGCAGGATTTTTCAATTACTTTGGATTGTTTAACACCTTGCAGTGTGAAAGTGAACCATACCAGCTAAAATGTAACAAATGTTGTAATTTCATTCTTCAGTCCCCAATTGAACTGAGTCGACTGGACTATCAGGTGTGAAAAGACCCTTAATTGAGTTAATGCAAGTCACCACATACACTTAATTTTCTGAGATAACACAATTATATTTTAGCAGATAATAATGGAATTTGAATTCTTGGAATCATACATACCCTTCTTCACAGATTACTGTAGCCACTGCACCAATTATAGTACCGTGGCTGGTATCAAATGACATGTGCGGTTTTGCTTCTGGGACACCACAGTCTGACCCTTTGATATAAAGAAACAACAAAAGCAAAACAAACAACAAAAAAAAAATTAAAAAAGTAGACATTATTGTAGGATTACATAGAGCCAAGATGACCATGAAAGGCATGATGGATGACTGTTTGTAAGATGTAAAATGCAAGTTAAACAAGACTCACGCTTGCAGATGATATCTGGCTTGGTCCACTTCCCATTGACACATCTATTGATTCCAGTACCACTTATTTGATCACTCCCATCTATGCACTGATATTTGATCACAGTACCAATTGGAAAAATGCTTTTTCGGAGGGACTCAGCAGAGAGAACAGTGTTCTGTACATGTTGAGGTTTGGGACAGTCACCTAGGAGGAAATAAAAATGAAGAAAAATTACAGACAAACACATACACACATAAAAGCAAGGCTTTTATGCATACATACATAAAAACAAGGCTTTTATGTATGTACAATTTGTGCAAATAACACAAATTGTAAGTGTCTCCTTTATGGAAAAAATATGTTGTGAATGGCCCATCTGGGAACATGCATTGCAAACCAGCTAAAGCTATAAATGTTATAGTGTTCATAATTTGGTTATACTTAACTCTTGTCCCTATTCAAAATAAAACAATACAGAAAAAAACGCATCTTTTACTTGTTTGATAATGTTAGAAATTTAATTACATTTGACAAAAACCTATGAGATAAATTAAAAATAACTGTTAGTCATGATGTTGTTAGGTTTCCATCTCAGGATGGATCATTGTCAGTTTTATACTGTGTTGAAATGATAGGCTGCACAATGAGCTAATTTACAAGTAGTAGTACGAAGATTTGTGTTATTTGGAAGCTTTTTGTATCTTATCTCAGCTATCTTATCTTATGAAGCCTGAAAAACAGCACAAGAACTTACCGACACATCGTGGTGGCTGAGAATCATATCCACCAGTTACAGTACACCTAATGGTTTCATTCCCAACCAAGGTGTATCCTGTGTTACATGTGAAACGTATAGTTTGTCGATATTCTGGTTCAAGATCATTATTCCAAGAATGTCTGCCATTTTCCACTCTGGTCGGTTTGGGACAAGTGACAACTGCAAAAATTGGCAAAAGAAAAAGAAAATTGCTGTTTCAAGTACAAAATACTTTAGTTGAAAAAAAGAGAAGAATTTAAACTGATCAACATTTACCTTCACAATTTGCAGTCTGTTTGTTAGATGTAAAATGCAAGTTAAACAAGACTCACGTTTGCAGATGATATCTGGCTTGGTCCACTTCCCATTGACACATCTAATGATCCCAGTGCCACTTATTTTATCAGATCCAATTATGCATATATATTTGATCACAGTACCACTTGGAAAAATCTTTTTTAGGAGGGACTCTGCAGAGAGAACTGTGTTCTCTACATGTTGAGGTTTGGAACAGTCAGCTATGAGAAAATAAAAATGAAGAAAAATCACACACAAGCACACACACACATAAAAGCAAAGCTGTTGTTGTGGTATTTGGTAATTTAAAAATTATTCTAAAAAATATGTTTCAGAAACTAATTAGTTGAAGCTTATGTTTGAACACAAAAAAGTGTCAAATGTTTGGACATGTTTGCGCATGCGCAAAATTTCTGTATGTAAACAATAGCATGCAAGGTGTCTGTATTTATAAATCTGATTAAGTCAATGCCTCACAAGCTATGAACCTAACTGGACGTCCTGGGAATCAGGGGAGGAAATTTAGCATGTTCTCCATTGCTCACAGTGGCCGGTGAAGAAAACATTTCATCGATTTTTTTATCAGCCACTTTTTTTTTGTCTTTGAGTTGTCATCCGTTCTTAAAATTACTTTGATCATGTTGCAATGTGTTGCTTTTTTAGATATTCATAGCCAAGTTGTCAGGGAGTTTTAACATATATTTAATGCTCATTATCAGAAGAGGGGTCAATAACTTTCATAGAACTTAATATAAATATACATTTTACTTCAGTGATTTTGTCACAAATTACAATATACGCAGAATAATAATCGATTTTTGGATTATGCTTGTATTGTATACACTTTGAATTGTGGTTGGGATTTTTAACTGTATTATATAAACAACCAATATACCAAAATATTGCAACAAAAAATTCAAACTTTTCCTCTTTTACAATTTCACTGCAAGAACAAAAGTAAGTGTATATTTTATGGAAAAATATGCTGTGAATGGCCCATCTGGAAACATGCATTGCAAACCAGCTAAAGCTATAAATGTTATAGTGTTCATAATTAGTTTATACTCAACACGTGTCCCCATTCAAAAAAAAAAACAATACAGAAAAAAAGCATCTTTTACTTTTTTGATCATGTTAGAAATTTAATGACATTTGAAAAAAAAACTATGAGATAAATTAATCACAGTAATTAAATCACAGCTCTTGCATTTAAATGTTGGCCTCATCAAAACACCTCAGAATTAAATTTTGCCTTTACTGGTTTATTTTGCTTGTAAAATATGGATAAATATACTATCTTCATGTGTCGTACACATACTGGAATTTTATCTTACAGTTATAAAAAATAACTGTTAGTCATGATGTTAGGTTTCCATCTCAGGATGGATCATTGTCAGTTTTATACTGTGGTGAAATGATAGGCTGGACAATGAGCTAATTTACAAGTAGTGGAAAGACGATTTGTGTTATTTGGAAGCTTTTTGTATCTTGTCTCAGCTAACTGATCTTCTATGAAGCCTGAAAAAAAGCACAAGAACTTACCGACACATCGTGGTGGCTGAGAATCATATCCACCAGTTTCAGTACACCTAATGGTTTCATTCCCAAACAAGTTGTATCCTGTGTTACATGTGAAACGTATAGTTTGTCGATATTCTGGTTCAAGATCATTATTCCAAGAATGTTTGCCATTTTCCACTCTGGTCGGTTTGGGACAAGTGACAACTGCAAAAATTGGCAAAAGAAAAAGAAAATTGCTGTTTCAGGTACAAAATACTTTAGTTGAAAGAAAAGAGAATAATTTAAACTGAACAGAGCTAAAAATAACTGTTAATCATGATATTGTTAGGTTTCCATCACAGCATGGATCATTGTCAGTTTTATACTGTGGTTAAATTATAGGCTGGACAATCAGCTAATTTACAAGTAGTGGAAAGACGATTTGTGTTATTTGGAAGCTTTTTGTATCTTATCTCAGCTAACTGATATTCTATGAAGCCAGAAAAAAAGCACAAGAACTTACTGACACATCGTGGTGGCTGAGAATCATATTCACCAGTTTCAGTACACCTAATGATTTCATTCCCAACCAAGTTGTATCCTGTGTTACATGTGAAATGTATGGTTTGTCGATATTCTGGTTTACGGACATTATTCCAAGAATGTCTGCCATTTTCCACTCTGGTCGGTTTGGGACAAGTAACAACTGCAAAAATTGGCAAAAGAAAAAGAAAATTGCTGTTTCAGGTACAAAATACTTTAGTTGAAAAAAAGAGAAGAATTTAAACTGAACAGAGCGAAAAATATCTGTTAATCATGATGTTGTTAGGTTTCCATCTCAGGATGGATCATTGTCAGTTTTATACTGTGGTGAAATGATAGGCTGGACAATGAGCTAATTTACAAGTAGTGGAAAGACGATTTGTGTTATTTGCAAGCTTTTTCTATCTTGTCTCAGCTAACTGATCTTCTATGAAGCCTGAAAAAAAGCACAAGAACTTACCGACACATCGTGGTGGCTGAGAATCATATCCACCAGTTACAGTACACCTAATGGTTTCATTCCCAACCAAGTTGTATCCTGTGTTACATGTGAAACGTATAGTTTGTCGATATTCTGGTTCAAGATCATTATTCCAGGAATGTTTGCCATTTTCCACTCTGGTCGGTTTGGGACAAGTGACAACTGCAAAAATTGGCAAAAGAAAAAGAAAATTGCTGTTTCAGGTACAAAATACTTTAGTTGAAAAAAAAGAGAATAATTTAAACTGAACAGAGCTAAAAATAACTGTTAATCATGATATTGTTAGGTTTCCATCACAGCATGGATCATTGTCAGTTTTATACTGTGGTTAAATTATAGGCTGGACAATCAGCTAATTTACAAGTAGTGGAAAGACGATTTGTGTTATTTGGAAGCTTTTTGTATCTTGTCTCAGCTAACTGATATTCTATGAAGCCAGAAAAAAAGCACAAGAACTTACTGACACATCGTGGTGGCTGAGAATCATATTGACCAGTTTCAGTACACCTAATGATTTCATTCCCAACCAAGTTGTATCCTGTGTTACATGTGAAACGTATAGTTTGTCGATATTCTGGTTCAAGATCACTATTCCAAGAATGTTTGCCATTTTCCACTCTGGTCGGTTTGGGACAAGTGACAACTGCAAAAATTGGCAAAAGAAAAGAAAATTGCTGTTTCAGGTACAAAATACTTTAGTTGAAAGAAAAGAGAATAATTTAAACTGAACAGAGCTAAAAATAACTGTTAATCATGATATTGTTAGGTTTCCATCACAGCGTGGATCATTGTCAGTTTTATACTGTGGTTAAATTATAGGCTGGACAATCAGCTAATTTACAAGTAGTGGAAAGACGATTTGTGTTATTTGGAAGCTTTTTGTATTATCTCAGCTAACTGATATTCTATGAAGCCAGAAAAAAAGCACAAGAACTTACAGACACATCGTGGTGGCTGAGAATCATATTCACCAGTTTCAGTACACCTAATGATTTTATTCCCAACCAAGTTGTATCCTGTGTTACATGTGAAATGTATGGTTTGTCGATATTCTGGTTTACGGACATTATTCCAAGAATGTCTGCCATTTTCCACTCTGGTCGGTTTGGGACAAGTAACAACTGCAAAAATTGGCAAAAGAAAAAGAAAATTGCTGTTTCAGGTACAAAATACTTTAGTTGAAAGAAAAGAGAATAATTTAAACTGAACAGAGCGAAAAATATCTGTTAATCATGATGTTGTTAGGTTTCCATCTCAGGATGGATCATTGTCAGTTTTATACTGTGGTGAAATGATAGGCTGGACAATGAGCCAATTTACAAGTAGTGGAAAGACGATTTGTGTTATTTGCAAGCTTTTTCTATCTTCTCTCAGCTAACTGATCTTCTATGAAGCCTGGATAAAAGCACAAGAACTTACGGACACATCGTGGTGGCTCAGAATCATATCCACCAGTTTCAGTACACCTAATGGTTTTATTCCCAACCAAGCTGTATCCTTTTTTACATGCGAAATGTATAGTTTGTTGATATTCTGGTTTACGGACATTATTCCAAGAATGTATGCCATTTTCCACTCTGGTCGGTTTGGGACAACTAACAACTGCAAAAATTGGCAAAAGAAAAAGAAAATTGCTGTTTCAGGTACAAAATACTTTAGTTGAAAAAAATAGAGAAGAATATAAACGCAACAACATTTACCTACACAATTTGCAGTTCCAAACCATCCTGTGTCAACGCAATGTTTGACGCGCGATCCAATGAGCCGGAAACTGCATAAAAAAAAAAGAAGTCATAAAGACTGTTAGTATCTAATTGACAATCAGAAGAGTTCAGATGATGAATAACATTTAATAATTAAAGATAATGCTACTAGTTTTATATTTTCTATTTACTCTTTCACACAGTCATAGTTTGCTGATGGAATGCAAAAACCCAACCTTTAAGGAGATAGCAGGCTATATTCCTTCTCAAAATAGCGATGGCTATATAATCTTTTTTATGAAAGAAAAACTTTTGTTTTGCTTTAAAGTAAAATTGCACAGAATAGATGCACATCTCTCCATGCTGCCTTTGTTGCACCATTTTACATAGATAGAAAGAATCAGGATAGTTCTGTTAATTTGCTTCTCTCATGCAGCATTGTAATGGAGTGAGACATAACATACACATGTTGCTCAATGTCATAAAGTGAAGAAAAAAAGCTAATTATTAAACCAAAACAATAATAAACTGGCAAATAAAGAATACATTTTGATATATAACTGAAAAATAAAATAATTAAAGGCAGCTTTTTAGTCTTTGCCATTAGTTTAACAGCCATTACGAAATACATAACTGACTCACAAAAAAGCTATGTCTAACTTCTCATAAATCAAAAAAACAAAAAAACTTTCTTCTGCAGTTCACAAAAGATTAAAGGGCTACCTATAAGAGCTAATTCATAACACATAATAGAACAATTTGGTTAAATATCTGCATTTTAACAGTGTGTTTCAGACAAAATGTCAACATAGGCTTCTATCTTCTGCCATTAGGTCATTGTTCAGACTAAAAATATGTTTGCATCAGTTTTACATAAAGACTGGGAGGAAGGAACAAAGCATGCTCCTAAGTTGCTTTTTTCATGCAGCAGATTGATGGAAGGTTAGGAGAGTGAAAAAGACCCTGTAGTGGATGTGTCACTATCAATTAATCCAAGAAAAGATTTACTAATTGATTACTAATATGTGGATTGCAATTTTCTTAAGTGAAATAAGAAAATTATTTGTCCATCCATTTTTTTTCTTACACCCTTATCCCATCGGGGTCGGGATTGGTGCTGGTGCCTATCTGCAGCTGTCACAACGACTAATCACTTATGAAAAATATGTTTTTAACAATGTTTTTATTGTAGGTAATATTATTAATAGACTTATCTGAAATATTAATATTGATTATAAACAATTTTAATGTCAACTCTTCTAATACCAAATCACATAACAACTGCATAAAACATCAGCAAATTGCACTGGAGATAGAATAATAGTCCTTCAACCTATTCCACCTGTCTTTAGCAACCATTGCAAAAAGGTCATTCATACTCCCTCATAAGATATGTTTTACTCACGGTGAAAAAAGTAGTCATTTTTAATAATATATTAAATATTTGAATTTTAAATCAGGTGATTAGCTCAGATTTTCTTTACTGAATATTCACACATAAAAAAAGCACTGAATTGAACTCATAACACAAGAAATTTCTATAAAACTTAAATCTGAAAAAAAATATATAAACAGCTCCATAAACATTATATAACTAAATTCAACTCAGTTAATGTTACATTTTATTTTGACATATATTTGTACAAATTTTACTGGCTCTAATGTTTTTATTTTTAAATGTGCGGACATATCTAGATGCACATCCTGACAAAAATTTAATTGCTGCATATTACATAAATACTGGTATTGCAGCAATGAACATGTTAGTGTCCCTCATGATTTCGGGCACATTCATACCTAACACATTTGGTCTGGTTTGAACAGATCAAAGTTTGTTTCCCCTGTTGGTCCAGATCTTTTATGGAGCTGTGAATACGGTCATGCAAATCCTGGTGTGAACCAAACAACCAAACTGAGACTAATTTTTTAGGTGATCTCTTGACTTGCAGTAAATTGGCCTCAAAATCTTAGTCTCAGTTTGATTAAAGTGAAATCTGGAACAAATATTTTTAGGTTCTCCACTTTCAAACAAATTCTCGTACAGTTCACCTTGGGTGCAAACCAAATACATAAAATATCCATCTTTTTAGACTACACAATTCCTTGTTGGTTGGTATTATGGTAAAAATGAACACATCAGAGTTTCCTGCACTTCCATATGTGGTGATTTTAATGAACTTGTACCTGTTCTCCTGTTTTCTGCTTAGCAATGCTGTTGCCAGTTTGTGTTGGGTCAGCGCAGGTGGAACAAACACATTTGCAAACTCTGTTTCAAAATTAGAAATATTCCATCGCTATTCCTGTGTCAAATGAACTGCTGTTGATGTTCTAAATTATATTGGTTACTTAAATAGGGGAAGTGTGGATGCACATCCAGACACACCAAGAAAGCAAACTCTGAGCTGCCTCAAAATCTAGGTCTCAGTTTGATTAAAGGGAAATCTGGAACAATTTGTATGTGGATGCAAGAGGACTAGTGATCATTAAAAAAGCAAGAAGGGAACCATGGCACAGGGCACAATTGTTAAATATAACCAAAATAAAAGGAAAAAATGGCCCATGGTCTATTTCTAAAAACAAAAGAGAAATCTTCGAAGCACATTTTGTTTACATTTTGTGAAGAAGAAAGATGCACTCATGTCTTCTCAGCTTTTCATGTTATTTGTTCAGTAGATCTGCAAAGCCACACAGGCATGGGTGAAAAGGTTTTTAGTTACTTTGAATTGTTTAAAAAAGTACAGTATGAACGCGAACCACACCAGTTAAAATGGAACAAATGTTGCAATTCTGGTCCTCATTTGAACTGAGCCAAGCAGACTATCGGGTGTGAAAAGATTGTTTCGAGTTCTTGCAAGTCAAGACATACACTTGATTTTCTGAGACAAAACAATGACATTGAAGCAGATAATCGAATTTAAATATTTGGAATCATACATACCCTTTTACACAAGATACATAAACCGCTGCACCAAATAGAGTCCCCTGGCTGGTGTCATATAACATATGTGGCTGTGCTTCAAGGTGACCACAGTCTTTCTCTTTGATATAAAAATACAACAAAAATAAAAATAAAAAAGAAGAGCAGATATCAGTGTAGGACTACATAAGCCAAAAATGACCTTGAAAACCGTGTTGATAACTGTGTTTTTTAGATATAAAATGCAATTTAGACAGGACTCACTGCGGCAGATGATATCTGGCTTGGTCCAGTTCCCATCATCGCACGTCATGATCCCAGTTCCATTTACATTCTTATATCCAATTATGCACTCATATCTGAGCTCGGTACCTGATGGGAAATCCTTTTTAGAAGGGATTCTTTTGTGAGAATTATGTTCACTCCAACGTCAGGTATGGGGCAAAAAGCTAGGGCGAAAAAAATATGCATGAGCCTAGAAATTGATTAGCATTTTTCACCTCCCATTACATTGGGAGGCGCTCCACCCTGCCACAAAGTCCACCTGCCCCCCCATGAAGACTCATGCAGTAATTGTACATTTTCATACTTCCTATTAATAATTTTTATAACCTATAAATTACATCAGATCACATTGTCAGCTATTTTCTTCCCTATGTAATCACTGCTCGACTTACAATTCTCCCTAAGCTAGGTTTATTGTTGACAATTTGAACTGGGCCCAAGTGTGCATCTGCGCCAATGCGCATTTGCCTCGAGCCCTGTCTTGTCACCTGGTTGTGGTCCTCCAAACTTTTGTGGGGACTGCTCCATATTTTCTTCACTGACCACACACGTTGTTAATAGCCAATCTGGGAACATGCATTGTAAACTAGCTAAGGCCATAAATCATTTTGTTCATAATTTGTCTATACTTAAGACTTGTTCCCATTCAAAAAATAAACAGTAAAAAAATAAAGATAATTTGTGTTTTAACTCATGCTATCGTTTGCTTTTTTTATTATGTTAGAATACCAGTGAGACTTGTTCAAAAACCTATAAAATATATGAAAACTAACTGTCAGTCATTTAGTTAGGTTTCCAACTCAGGATGAATCATTGTCAGTTTTATACAGTGCAGTGGTGAAATGATAGGCTAGACAATGAGCAATTTTACAAGTGGTTGAAAGACAGCTTACATTATTCACAAATGTACTTGCAAACTGTATATTGTCTTGGCCAACAGATCTTCTGTGAAGCCTGAAATAAAGCATCAGAACTTACCGATGCATTGTGGTTGCTTAGAATCATATCTGCCAGTATGAGTACACCTAATGGTTTTATTCCCAATCAGGGTGTATCCTTTGTGACACGAGAAATGTATCGTTTGATTATAATGTGGTGCCTTGCGCGTTCTCCATGTATGTTCGCCATTTTCCACTTTGGTTGGTTTGGAACAATTAACAACTGAGAAAAAGAGAATTTCTGTTTCAGGTACACAATGCTTTGGCCAACTGTGTTGGAAAAAAAAGAATTCAAACACTTACTGGAACAATTTCCATGTCCAACCCACCGTGTGCCTAAGCACATTCTGTAGTTCCATCCCATGACCGTGTAACTGCATAAACACAAAATAAGTCATAAATAATGACAGAATCTGATGAACCATAAATAAAATATTAGCTTGTCAGTAAGATTTAACATAAAAAATTTTGCAACTAATTTCATATTTTCTGTTTATTCACACAGTCATTGTTTGAAGACAGAATCCAGACAACCCGGTGCCTCTTTAATTAGGCTATAGGCTTTCTTTCTTCCCAAAATAACACAGGCAATAATCTTCTTTTTAAAAAAAGAGAAAGTTCTGTTTAAAACTACAGCATATATTCACATCCATCATCTATATCTGCTTATCCAGGCAGGCTTATAGGGGGTTCAAGTGTCTATCTGGCACCCCTGAAACATTTCAATGATTTCAATTTGATTCCCTCATGCAGCAGTTTAATGGCGTGAGACATAATCCTATTAATACATCACTTAAAGTTCTTTAGAGCTCGTACACCGGCAAAAGACATTGTGCTGCGAATTGCAATAAGCTTAGATGAGCATTTGAAATGCTGATTTGAGATGTCTTCATCTAAAATCACCGTACTCTGCTGCGGGAGGTCGGATGGAAAGGATGGAAATGATGGAAGCCTGAAGGAGTCGGAGGCTTTGAGGTGGAGAAGGGGCGGAGGTGGGTTGAGCATGGCTGGAAAGCGGGCGTTGCCTTGGATCACGTCCTATACAAGGAAGCTTGATCGTGATTGGCTGTGCGGGGCATTGTTCGATGCTGACAGGCTCCTGACTTATGAATGTGACACAGTGACTGGATGATGCAGGTGAGGCTGAAGAGCCTTCCAGTGTGAATTACTTTGAGGCTTCATTTCAACTCAGTTAATTTCCGATGTGATACATTCAATGGGCACACACACTAGAAAAAGGTAATAAACGAAGTCTGCGTTGATGTCAAAAACGACTCAGTACTCAGATTTATGAACAGAATTTGATTGAGGAGCCACCTAGTGGCGGAAATAAAATACTACATATAAAAAAGCTTAACGGAAAACCAAACTAGAGAGCTGAAAACAATTACGGTAACTGACTATATTTTCTACACCACAATTGAACTAAGTCTACCAAACTATTAAGTGTAAAGTAACCCTTAATGGAGTTACTGAAAGTCAGGGCATACACTTGATTTTCTGAGATAAAACAATGACATTGAAGCAGATTATATAGTTTATATATTTGGAATCATATATACCCTTTTTCACAGGTTATATATGCCTTGCACCATACAGAGTCCCTTGCCTGAGTTAAATATCATGTGTGTTGTGGTACAGGGGGACCACAGTCTTTCCCTTTGATAAAAGAAACACAAAAACAACAAGGAACAACAGTCATCAGTGTGATATATCTTGAGCGAAGATGACAATGTAAAGCATGTTGGATAACTGTTTTTGTCAGATGTAAATTGCAAGTTAGACAGGACTCACGCCTGCACTTGATGTCTGGCTCTTTCCACTTCCCATTGACGCAAGTCATCTTCCCAGTGCCACTTACTTTCTCATATCCAAGTCTGCACTCATGTGTGATCACAGTACCATCAGGGAAATGCTGTTTTAGAAGGGATTCCTCTGTGAGAACTGTGAACTCTCCATGATCAGGTATGGGACAATCAGCTAGGACGAACCGAAAATGAAGAAAAATGACACAAACACACACACATAAAAGCAAAGCTGTTATTGTGACTTTGGTTATTTTAACATGATTCTACAACATAAGTTGAAAAATATGTTTTTATCAGTTATTTTGACTCGGTAGACATTATAGATCATATGACGAAACGTCCAGCAAATGTTTTGTCAAATCTTAATAAATGTCTGATGGACGTTTGCTGTTGATTTGACGCTCTGCGTCGTTATGACAACGTTAAGTGGACGTTGTCATAACGTTTAATGCTAGACGGGTAGTTGTTAAGTTAAGGTTATTTTAAATAAAAGTTTCTTATTAGTCAAAGTGACCCTGACATCAAACAAAACGTAATATGTTTTTATGTGACAACAAAAATAGTACAAATAATCTATCTTTGAAGCCGGTTTGGCCGGTGACGTACTGACCTGCAACGTTTCCCGATAAATAGGCACAGGATAAGGAGTTTTTCTCTGTCTGCCGATGTCAACTAAACCCTCATAGATGTGGAAGGAAATACAAACCATCCGGATGAAGCTGCCTCTACATCAGTCCAACTTTAGTCATGGAAATGTGGTGTGTAGAGACGCTCCTCACGGTGGAAATGATTCTCCTTCCATTGAAGTCAATTCACTTTTTTAGTTACTAGAAGGGAATGAGGTGAGTTGAAAATTTTCAAATAAAAGTCTTGGTTTCCAACATAAATTACTGTTTTGGAATTCACTAATTCAAACAAACGACTTTCACAAGAATCCTAACCACGAAGCAATTTACATGCTTATGACATTGTGTCTCCAATGTCCTGAGTGGAATTTTGGACATTTGTATTTCACTTTGTTTCGAATACACCCTTGGATTTGTAGGATTTTATGTTTTTGCTGTAGAGATTTAAGGGGAGGTATGTGCTTCTTAGAGTCAAACATTCTTACAATCAAGAATTAAATAAGAAAAACGAGGCAAATAAAATTAATTAATCTTTGAGAATTCAAGTGTTAAGTGATGGCATAATCAGGACAGACATATATATATATATATATATATATATATATATATATATATATATATATATATATATATATAAATTCCCTTCTCACCCACCGCGGGTGGTTCTTATCCTCTGAGCTCGGGTCCTCTACCAGAGGCCTGGGAGCTTGAGGGTTCTGCGCAGTATCTTGGCTGTGCCAAGGACTGCACATTTCTGGACTGAGATGTCTGATTGTTCCTGGATCTGTGGTAGCCACTGCTCCAGTTTGGGGGTTACTGCCCCGAGGGCCCCGATGACCACAGGCACCACTGTGGTCTTCACCTTCCAGGCCCTCTCCAGTTCCTCCCTGAGGCCCTGGTATTTCTCTAGTTTTCTCGTGCTCCTTTTTCCTGATGTTGCAATCACTTGGTATTGCTACATCTACCACAACGGCTTCCTCTGATGTTTATCCACTACGACAATGTCTGGTTGGTTCGCCATTACCATTTTGTCTGTCTGGATCTGGAAGTCCCACAGGATCTTAGCTCTGGCGTTCTCCACCACCTTTGGGGGTGTTTCCCACTTTGATCTTGGGGTTTCCAGTCCATATTCTGCACAGATGTTTCTGTACACTATGCCTGCCACTTGGTTATGTCGCTCCATGTACGCTTTCCCTGCCAGTATCTTGCACCCTGCTGTGATGTGCTGGACTGTCTCAGGGGCCTCCTTGCACAACCTACACCTTGGGTCTTGTCTGGTGTGGTAGATCTGGGCCTCTATTGCTCTGGTGTTTAGGGCCTGTTCCTGGGCTGCCAGGATGAGGGCCTCTGTGCTGTCCTTGAGTCCAGCTTTTCCAGCCATTGGTAGGATTTACTGATATCAGCCACTTGGGTTATTTGCTGGTGGTACATCCCATGTAGGGGTTTGTCCTCCCATGATGGTATCTCTGGCACCTCAACCTCCGTTCCCTGTTGTCTGAGACATTCACTGAGCACATTGTCTGTTGAGGCTTTGTCCCTGATGTATTTATGGATCTTAGTTGTTTCGTCCTGGACAGTGGTTCTCACACTCACTAGTCCTCTGCCTCCTTCCTTGCGGCTCGTGTACAGTCTCAGGGTGCTGGATTTGGGATGGAACCCTCCATGCATGGTTAGTAGCTTTCTGGTCTTAATATCTGTGCTTTTATCTCCTCCTTTGGCCAGCTAATTATTCCAGCAGGGTATCTGATTACTGGCAAGGCATAGCTGTTTATCGCACGGATTTTGTTCTTGCCATTGAGCTGGCTTCTCAGGACTTGCCTTATTCGTTGGAGGTATTTAGCTGTGGCTCCTTTCCTTGTGACCTCATCGAGGTTGCCATTTGCTTGTGGTATACCTAGGTACTTGTAACTGTCCTCTATGTCTGCTATTGTTCCTTCTGGGAGTGAGACCCCTTCTGTGTGGATGACCTTCCCCCTCTTTGTGACCAGCCGACCACATTTCTCTAGTCCGAATGACATCCCAATGTCAGTGCTGTAGATCCTGGTGGTGTGGATCAGTGAGTCGATGTCTCGCTCACACTTGGCGTACAGCTTGATGTCATCCATGTAGAGTAGGTGACTGATATTGGCCCATTTTTGAGTCTGTATCCGTAGCCAGTCTTGTTGATAACTTGGCTGAGGGGGTTCAGGCCTATGCAGAACAGTAGCGGGGACAGAGCATCTCCTTGGTATATGCCACATTTGATGGACACTTGTGCAAGTGGTTTGCAGTTGGCTTCAAGGGTGGTTTTCCACAGCCTCATCGAGTTTGCAATGAAGGCTCTCAGAGTCCTGTTGATGTTATACATCTCTAAGCATTCAATGATCCAAGTATGCGCATTGAGTCATAGGCTTTCTTGTAATCAATCCAAGCCATGCACAGGTTGGTGTGTCGGGTTTTGCAGTCTCGGCAACTGTGCGGTCTACGAGGAGTTGGTGTTTGGCTCCTCTGCTATTTACACCGATACCCATCTGTGCCATGCTCATGTGTTTTCCATGTGTTTGCTTATCTTGGCCGCTATGATGCCTGACATGAGCTTCCAGGTTGTGGAGAGGCAGGTTATTGGTCGGTAGTTGGGTGGGACTGGACCCTTGATGGATCCTTCTGGATTAGGATTGTCCGCCCTTCAGTTAACCATTCAGGGTGAGTCCCACTTTGTAGCAGCTGGTTCATTTGGGCTGCCATTCGCTCATGGAGAGCAGTGAGTTTCTTTAGCCGTAGGCATGGATCATGTCAGGCCCTGGTGCTGTCCAGTTTTTCATACCTGAGACTCTTTCTTGGACATCTGTCACAGTGATGGTTACCGGGGCTTGCTCAGGGAGGTTGCTGTGGTCCTCTCGTAGAGAGATCAGCCACTGTGCATTGCTGTTGTGGGACGCCTCCCTTTCCCATATGCCTTTCCAGTATTGTTCCGTCCCAGCCTTGGTGGTCTGCTCTGTTGTTATTGTTACCCTGCCATTGAGAGTACACCTTAGCTGGTTGAGTGGAGAAGAGCCGGTTAATCCTTCTGGAATCATTCTCCCTTGTGTATCTCTTTAGGCGGCTGGACAAGGCTTGGAGCCTCTGTTTGGCAGTCTCGAGTGCTTCAGGTATGGGCATCTGCCTGTACTTTCTGGGTACTGTCTTTTCATTGCACCCTTGTGGAGCTCTGACAGTTGGCTCACTTCCCTCCTTGTTACCTTGATTTTAGCCTCTAACCGTCTTTTTCCATGGTGGGTATTGGGTCTCATGGTTGCTCTTATAGCCAAGTATCTCAAGGATCACTGATGCTGAGTTGTAGATCAGCCATTGGTTTCTGTTATGGTGTTGGTAGGGATCGTTCTCAATGCTGCATTCACATTCTCAATGAGACTTTCAGATGTACTTCACTCAGCCGTTGTAATTGGCGCCGAGGAGGTCTGGTTGTCATTCGGGTCATGATTCTCTCTCTCAGGTCAGCAGCTGTCTCGTTCAGCTCTGTTTCGCTCATTGGGGCCGTGTATCCACTCACTGGGTGGGGACTTGTAGTTAAGTCCCCACAGTCCTGACATCCGGGTTCCTCCCTTTTGCCGTAGCATTTGTGTTTATCTCGTCAATCTCAGTTGTGATAGCAGTTGCCGTTTGCGATGTTGGAACACTGAGCTACTAGTTGTTTAGCGCTTAGTGTTGACTGGGATGTCGAAGTAACCATTCCTTCCCCAGTCTTTGCATGTAACTCTCTCACTAGGGTTACTTGAGTAGTAGCATTCCAAACAGATCCACATTTTCATCTCTCGCCCAATTTCCGTCTTGTTCCAGTAGCCCATTTGTCATCAAGGTGCTCTGGTTCCCCAACACCTGACGCAGACCTTGTTTGGCCGGGCGACGTCTGAGCCGCATGTTATGCAACTTAGTATCTCTCATGGTATTGAGGTAGGCAGTAGCTTGAAGGGTCTTGCCTAAGGACCCAGACTGGATCGAACCCTGCCCTCTCGGGTGATATACTGATGCCTTATGTATTCCTGATGTAGCAATACCAAGTGATTGCAACATCAGGAAAAAGGAGCACGAGAAACTGGAGAAAACCAGGGCCTCAGGGAAGAACTGGAGAGGGCCTGGAAGGTGAAGACCACAGTGGTGCCTGTGGTCATCGGGGCCCCGGGGCAGTACCCCCAAACTGGAGCAATGGCTACAACAGATCCCAGGAACAACATCAGACATCTCAGTCCAGAAATGTGCAGTCCTTGGCACAGCCAAGATACTGCGCAGAAACCCTCAAGCTCCCAGGCCTCTGGTAGAGGACCCGAGCTCAGAGGATAAGAACCACCCGCGGTGGGTGAGAAGGGAATTTTTATATATATATATAATATATATATATATATATATATATAATATATATATATATATATATATATATATATATATATATATATATATATATATATATCCTCACCAGTCAACGCCTTTTTTAAAGGCACAGCATTTCCTACAAATATTGCAAAAAGTGGAAAACTTTCAATGTGACCTCCAATTTATCCACATGTCACGT